ATCTCTAGAAGAAACTCAGTTTGCATCCGGGTCCAACAACGGCGGTCCCGCAGCCCTAGACAGAGCTTTTCGAACTGACGGAGGGGGAGCAGGAGGAAAATGGTAAGGCAGAGGTGCGCAACTCGAATAGACCGCGAGATAGCAAACGAAAGCGAAGTAACCTCCTACCTCCGACGTACAAGCACACTAAGAACCCCGAGAAGGCAGACTGGCGTACACGCCTCGTAGTGAGGAGGAAGAGGAGGAGCAGTCCGGCCCCGATGGACGATGAGGACGACGGCGACGAGGATCGCAGCAATGACAATGACGACCCCTCGTGCCGTTCCGCACGAGGTACAGAGCGATGGCGAGGACGATGATGACGAGCCGCATGTGCACGCTTCGGACGCGGAGGCGTTGGAGCCACTCACAGACGATTCCCTCGAAAACGAAGACACTACCGACGAGGACGATGCCGAGCTTGATGGTGCAGTCAGCGGGTCCAGTTTGCGCGCCGCATCCCACAAGGGTGCACCGTCGCCCGAACTCACCGAGAACCCAGACGATGAAGAAGCGGGCGAGGACCCAGTGGAGGACGATGCACCCGTCGCAGAGTTCTGAAGCCTCGCGCATCTGCCACACTCGACTCAGCAACGCTACTGGACGCGGCTCCCCCAGTGCTAGACGACAACAACACTGCGCTCATGGACGTCGACCAGATCGTGCCCCCGCCGCCACTCGTCGCTCCCGCACCTCACACGGCTGTAGCTCCTTCAATCATGGCGGGTTCTACTGTTGTGGCGCCACCCTCACGCTCCCCTCGACCTCGACCTTCAGCATGTGATTCACTATCGCCGTCCTGCTCCCCGCCGCCCGACGCCGGCGCACCTTCCGGTCGCGAACCCGAACCAGATCACGAGGTCAAAGCAAGTCGTCCGTCACGCAAGAGGAGTGCCCGGGCACAAGGACACAAGACCAGAGCTGAGGCGGCGACGGATCGTGACCTCGACACAGATGAAGATGCAGACCAAACAGCGGAGGCAGATGGGGAGGACGGAGACGTGGGTGACGTTGGGGAGGCTGACCTGGACTCCCCAGCGTTGGAGATGGAACTGGGGTCCGATCTGCAGCCTGCCCACCATGCAGAGGCCCTGGACGTCCTTGCGACTCGGACTCACAGCAAGTTCGCGCTTCTTAGGGAACGCTTCTACGTAGAGAAGACGGAGGCACTTGCATGGGAAGAGGCCTTGGTGGCGGAAGGTGCGAGTGACACGGCATGCCTGTGTCAAGCCGTCTACTGACTCTCACTAGGCACACGTCCCGAGATGCGACGTCTGAAAGAACTGCTGAAACGACGCGATAAGCGGCTCGAGCTGGCCTCTAGGCGACGCGACTTTGAGGCCCTCAATTTAGTGAAGCGTCGTAAACTCAGCGCACCACGGGCTCGACGGAGGAGACCTTGAAGCGCATCGGGAAGGCCATCTCCACCTACCTTGAAGGATTCACGCCTCACCGCAACCTTGCGCGTATCCTGAACACCCGAGGGAAGACTGTGGAGGAGGGTAGAACATCGACTGGGCAACCGCTGAGGCACTTGCCTTCGGCGCTCTCGCCCTCGAGAAGGTCCACGTACATGTGTCCGGCCAAGACGTCGAGCGCGGTACCTTCTTGCAGCGCCACGTCGTCATTCACGACCAGGAGAACGAGCAGCAGTACGTCCCCCTGAATGCGCTGGGCTCCGGCCAGGCACAGTTTGTCAATCTGCAACTCGTCGCTCTCCGAGTTGGGCTACTTGCTCGTCTCTCCCGACGCGCTGACCATCTGGGAGGCGCAGTTCGGCGACTTCGCGAACAACGCGCAGTGCATCATCGACCAGTTCATCGCATCCGGCGAGTGTAAGTGGTTGCAGCGTACCGGCGTCGTCATGAGCTTGTGCACGGCTTCGACGATCAGGGTCCAGGGCGCTCCAGCAGTCAGTAAGAGCACTTCCTCCAGCTTTGCGATGACCACCCGCAGAAGCTCCCGCCGGTGAGAAGATGGACCTTCATTGTTAGCGATTTTGTGAATCGTCATAGGTACGCACACCATAGCATACTGAGTTGGGACCAACATCGCTTAGATTACCTTAGACTACTTCATTTTGGCGTCTCCTTGTACGAATGCTTATCTGGCTTTGTGCGGCTTAATGCATGTAGTTTTCCTGATGAGTTGTCGAGAGCCCTCGCGCAATGGGGAAAGTGTGCGAGGGTGTGATTGATTCCTATTTTGCTACGTACCCTATTCACATCAGAGATTTGGTCAGAATGGGCGTCCGAAAATGTTGCGGTCATGGGTAAAGCTAAAGGCTCAGCATACTGCGAATGCGCATTTGTGTTTTAGAGCGGCGTTCAATCAAGCCACGTTGATATCGCGCTGGGTACAGGTTCTCTCAAGTGCTACAAAGGCATCGATATCTTCCAGTTCCCTTCCCTCTCCTCCCCTCCAAGAGTTGCCATGGCCAACACCGCTTACGTCGATCTGCATGTCTTGCATAACGGTCATTGTCTGACTGTGAACTGCGTCGCGTTCTCTTCTGACAGCCAATATCTGGCGAGTGGCAGCGACGACAGGTGCCTTCTCATATGGAATGTCAAAGACGGAGCTCTCCTCTACCGCCTACACTTCAAAAGTGCAGTCGATAGTGTGATATGGCACCCGGTACATCCAGAGACTGTCGTTGTAGGTTGCGAGGACGGGAGCATTCACCAGATGCGTGGTTTCTCAATCGTGAGTTCCGCCTAGTAGCATTCACCTCGAAATTGTTTATTACAGGTGCTGATTCGGATGCACTACGGACAGGATGGTCACGAAAAGTTTGACGTGAGGCTTGGTGTTAAGGGCCCAGTGCACTTTCTACAATACAATGCCGACGTTAGCTGCCTCGCGGCGGCTGTCGGCCCAGAGGTACATGTTACTAAGGAGCAGGACAAAGGTAAGTCCATGGTGTAGGTCCCCAAAGCACCCAAGTAGGCTCATCGAAAACAAAACAGATACGTATACCGGAGGCTTGAAATTAGCTTCACCACCACCGTTAGCCGCTGCCGCTTCTACGAGTCGCGACGACGTCGAACAGCGTGATACGCGCCTGCGGGTCACAGGGATCCACTTTAGCAGGAAGGGTCGTGTCATCATAGCGTCGTACGTCGCACATGGCATCATGTGGGTCGTTTTCTATCTGCTACCTCGTTCATTCACGTATTAGGTGGGCATGTAGAGCGTACGACCTGGTCAAGCGCGAGCAACTCTGGCACATCGCTCCGACCGAAGATGCACCGATGATGTGAGTGACGCGCCGCATGCTCTCATACCCGGCATAGTTAACATAATCTCAGTGCTTCGTCTGCGCTGTCTCCGGATTGCAAACAACTTATGGCCTACCATCTCCAGAAGGGCTTGCGCTGCTATGCCGTCGCCACATATTTCGCCAAGCCAGCCGGTGCAAGTACGAGTTCGATGAGCCGCAAACAAGTCGTCTCTCGTTGCAGATGTCGTTTCTTCACGGGGGCAAAGCTGTTGTTTGTGGAACTACTACAGGCAAGGTCTGTATATGGGACATTGAGACGGGAGCTTTACCAGAAACTGCCGCATGATAGTGAGTCCGCAGAGTTGCGTAGACTTTGGATTGTGCTGACACAATACGTAGCTGATACTGTTCAGGCCGTTGCCGTATGCATATCATATTCGAGAAAACAAATTCAGGCTGAAGTACTGCACAACAGGCGCATCAAACAGGTGCCTTCAGTTATATCGCAACGGGATCCTCCGGAACGGGACAGCATACATATATCAAGATATGGCGCGCAAGGAACAGTAAGCTCAGGCTCGGGACAGTTAGTTGTGTCGTCGGCTGATTGAATTCAATGTGTAGATGAGCGTAACGAAGGCACGCCTCCCGATGGCCCAATGGCTGAAGCGTTCGACGTCTTGACGGTACGCAGGGCGTAGTATTATAGCGAACGACGTCTGATACCCTAGTCAGCGTAATCGGATCGTCGTCTTCAGCGATGACCAACGGCGTGCGGCACTATTCACTACAACATTTCTGGCATCATCTTGGCCTCCTGGCTGCTGTACAACATCGGCCTTTCCGTTCCCTGGAAGGTTGCTTTTGTGAAACTGTTGGAACTGGTGCGCCGTCTATCTCTATGAATCTCCGGTATAAATTTCGCTCAAGCGTATACGTATGTCCGTAGCTCCTGGGTACATGGCGCTTAGCGGTGGAAATGGCCAACTGGCTTCGCTACTATTGCGGATGTGCGTTCTCCTTCCTGTGGCTGCAGATCAAACTCAGCCTTGGAACGGTGATAATTAATGTGTTGGACGATCCTGATGTTCGAAGAGTATTGGACCTTTAGTCCTCTGCGGCCGGGCGGCCTGTCTAGGATGTTACTTATGCGTACTGTTCTGACTACCTATCGAAATGCGAAATGTCATTGTCCCCATCTCAGAAGACTTATCCTGCCGGGAGTTGCGCCTCCCAATGTGCCACAGTGCGAGGCCGTCTGCCCTCGATACGGCCAGAAAATCTCGGCGAGAAAGTAGCCGACCTATGCATCATCATTGCCTGCTAGCTGCCCTTTGTCCTCAGTGCCGAGGAAGAATGCAACACACGCGGCAGGAGTGTTAAAACCCATAAATACATTCGCTTTCACTTTGCACCATCACCATCGCACGCTCCTCCCCGAAAGTGACCATGCCAGACGCCACTGGAGGAGACACTGCTTCCGCACCCCCCTCTGCTCCTCAGACGACGGTCAGCCACCCTGATTCGACGGTTCCTAGGAACCTGCAGAGCAACCGCGGAAACGAACCGCCTTCGAGTCCTCATCCGGCGGCCAGCGCTGCACCAATACCGGCGCTTCCGCGGAATCCCAAGAGAGGTCGCCACGACGGCCCGGGTGCAGAAGACGATGACAATGCCGGAAATATAAACACCGCCAGCTCGAGCAAATTTCTCAGACTGGATGAGACGGGTAAACGTGCCAGACCAGTCCTCCAGGTCTGCAATCTACTCCCCTCCTTACATTAGTTTTGCCGCTGATCATCCGTCGTCACCTAGGACGGAGATGCTAACGCCACTACCACGACGTCCGCGCCACCCCCGACCCGGAGCAGCGCAAAGCGTGGGCGTCGTAAAGGAACAGGCCTTAGCAGCGTATGGCCATTCCTCTCGTACGTAACCCCCTTCCTCCAACTCCTAATCATCCAGCTTTATGGCATGCCATTGATCTTCCAGTTACCGTCATGGTCTCCGGTGAGGACGGCGACGGTGGAATCCGATGCGCCCACCAGTGCCGTCCAAGGTAGTACGGCTGTGACCTTAGGTCCCGTTGGCCTGTCTTCCCAAGGAACACACACGCCTCCCTCGAACTCTCAAGTGCCGCCGACCCGTAAGTTCTTCCCATGGTTGTGCACTCCCCTGTTACGGCCCAATCTAACGGTGCTCAGAACCGGAGGCACAGCATCTCACGCGCCCTGGGCCAAACGAAGGAGTTCATGCCATGGACCTTGATACGAATGGAATCAGCGGCGGCAGCGTTGTCAGGCTTTGCTGACACTACAGGGAGCGACGTGACCCGGAGTCCAGCGACATGCCACACCCCGCGCCGGTCCCCAAATCGATGACACCATCCAGTTCCACTCTCCAGCCTGAGGGCGTGCAAGGCGGAGCGCTGGCTGCGGGATCAGCATCGGTGAGGCTGTAGATACTAATGATAGCTTTACTTATGCCTGACTACGTCGTCGTGCTGGCTTCATTCACAGCGTTTTGATTACCCAATCAATACAATCGGGCGAAGAGCGTACGAGAAATCCAAAGCAATCAATCCCGGAGTCCCCCTCAAGCTCGAGCAATGCAGGACCCAGCACAGCGCCGAGCAGCGCTACGAGGGTGCCCCATCACTCTGCTGGTGCGAGTACACGACAGCCGCAGGTATGTTCGTGAGTGGCCTCGACCGGGAAATGACGAAGTTGAGTTCTGTTCCAGGACAATCATTTCGTCACCACTCAGCAGCTCGATCAATTCGAACAGAGGCTTCTTCACCATGTACATGCAGTTGTTGAGGAATCCATGGCCGGAATCAACCAGGTTGTGCAAGACATAGTCCAGCCTCGTCTGCGCCGCCAGCGTAAGCCTGAGCAAAACGGTGGAGACGATGATGGGTCCGAAGCTGACGACGAAGGAGGGATAATGAAGGTCCTCGGACTCCGCAAGCGACATTCGTATTCAGGAAAGCCGAACCGACGCCGCGGGAGGTTGAGAAAATTAATCTACAGGTCCGAGTTTTCAAATTTGACTCAGCTTTCCAGCGCTGATGTTCCGGATGCACAGGATGCCATAAGACACCATGCGCGTCGGCTCATGGGACGGCCTAGTGGCGAACGGGCTCCCTTGATTAATCGTGCAGACCCTCAGGAGGTCGCTGCTTATGATCCTGATCCTCCGATCCAGACGCAGCCGAAAGAGTCCTTCCTTGTACCGCAGAGGATTTCAGACCGGACTTTGACGGTACACCGCATTCGCAGTGGAACGTCGGTGTTGCGATAGTCTTCACACGGAGCTTTGTGAACGCATTTCCGAGATTCCGGGAGATCTTCGAATACGAACAAATCGCCGAGCAATGGATCACGCACTTCGCACATCTGAGACGTTGCTATTTGCAAACGCAGAAAGGAGAGGAAGAAATCTCGAGGATACGACAGGCAGCGCGACGCAAAGCACGCAGAGAAGCAGTGGGTCTATGAGAAGTCGCACGGGTGATATTTGTTGACATGTTTGCTGTGTAATCACACAGATATTCAACAGGCGTCTGGCCGCCGCTACGCTTGTCACAAGCTCGGAGCCCCACGCACGAGATTTAATGACGTCTCTCGGACCAGAAGGCATGAGTTCTGACGAATCCGATCACGACGCGGGCGGCGGGGAACCCGTCTACAAGATCTCGACGAGCTCATGGAGAAGTCTGAGGTTAACAAGCTGGCTGAGGGGGCTCGATGCCCTTCATCTGATGGATCGTTACCGCGGTGTATTCGACAAGTCACCGGGTGGTTGGCCGCACTTTCGACAGGCTGCTCTGGGGAAGCCAAGCGCTCGTGCGGCTGTGGGGCATCTACCAAGGGAATGCTATGCAGACAATTGGCTTGCTAACCAATCGCTTTTTCTCCGTGATACGTTGCAGATGGTAGACATGGCAGTGAACTTGACGCATCCAGAGGACATTCAAAGGTGGATCCACATAGCTGCATGACCTACAAACAACTTCTGATACTTCTTCACAGAATCATTGACCGCTACGATGTCATGGACAGGGATGTCGTCAAAGGTCGACGCATACCTCAAGGCGATGACATCGATGCTACGTCCGGGGACGGACGTCACTCAGAGGCTGAAGATACCGAGATGGCTCCTCCCGCGCAGAGCTCACACGGTAGACGAAACGCATCGCCAGGGCCTTCCAATAGTCGTAGTTTCGATGAAGGTAGTAGTAAGTGACGGCGACGGAACTTACAGTGCCGGACGTGATGGAACTTACAACGCTATGCGACTGCGGACGATGTTTCAGGAATTGTATTCGTGTACACAGAGAAGGAAGAATTGTGTACGAAACGTGTACGTGAAATCGCCAGTGCAATTGCAAGCCGGTTCTCCGCAGGTGCCGATTTGTTTTCGATTTCGACTGCAGCTGAGCGTGTCGCGGCGCTAAGCTATGTAAATAAGTTCGCGCCACACGCCTCCGCACATCGCGACTCGCCTCCGAGTCTGCCCCGCTCTCGCCCCTCAGTAGCTCACTCACTACTCACCGGAGTGGCTCGAAAGCCTCATCATCGCACTCTACGCATCGACATAGTGGAGGTCGCTATGGAGGCGTCAACAAGACCGCGAATGCACGAGAAAGGGGACCAGTACCCGGATACCGTAAGTGCGCATTCGCGAGATATACTCAGTGACGAGCAGACGACTCCAGCTGTGCGTGCGCGCGCTGATCGGTGAGGACACGGGCAGCGAAGACGAGTGGGCGGGGAAGGAGCGCGAGAAGCGCGAGCGAGTATTGCTACCATGCGGACGTGTATGTAGGCGAAGGGTGGAGACCTGTGGGCTATGCGAGAGGTGCGTATGTATGCTGGCGCTGCGTGGAATGATGGCTAATATACATTTGGCGACGACAGGCGGGCTGAGCGCGGCTGCGTCGATCTGTGCAAGTGTGCATGGGGACTAAGCGGAGGTGGAGGCGGCGCGGTGGCATACATAGTAGCTGCGTGGCGGTGTCGTACACCAGGTTCGTTGCTATCGTTGGGCGTGTGGCGGTGAAATGGATGCTGAATGTGGGTGCGCAGGTTCTCCGTAGTCATTCTGAGCGCATACCAGCAGACCCGCTCTCAATTCAATGGTGTCCTGGGCAGCACCTCGGGGGACAACCTTGACAAGGCATTTTGCCTTCTTGGCCCGGTGCGTAGCCTGCTCCCTCCGTTCTTTCTCCCCTCGCAATGCAGTCGCTGACTACTGCTGCCCGCGCGCAGTCATGCAAAGCGACGCAGAGATCCCGCACAGACCCCGGGCCGCGCAGCACCCGTGCTCTGCACTACCGGCGCCGCCGCCGCAGTCACGAAACTCGAGCCTTTGAAAGTCCCAGGCAGCAGGGAGACGCCATCCTTCGCGGAGCAGCAGACCATCAGGGGCTCATTCAACATGGATCGGCGGCATACGTACGAGGTGTACCATACCAACGGGCTGAGGGTCGCCAGGGAGGATGCGCGCACTGAGGGAGCACTGTCCACGCCGGTGCGCCCGCAGTTCAGCTTTCGTCTTGAACTACAGCGTTGGACTGACGAGTCGCAGAAGGAAGCACGGCTGAAGGGTGGCCCCTCGTCTACTAGCGAGGACGGCGACAGCAGCTCGTCGAGCCCGAACCTCCTCTTGACGCCTGCGCAACACGGAACAGATCCGTGTCGATGCACATGAGCATCGACGACGAACAGGATGCGAACGTGGCTTGCCTCCTTACCTCTCGGGGCCGGAACGTCGAGCGCTTCATGCGCCTTCTGTTCTGTGCTTCTCAGGCAGGACTGAACGTCGGCTCGCTCCCTCAGCAGAATTGTCACGGCTTGGGCATGTCTGCGCCATACGCGGTGCACCACATCGGGCCTCTAGCTGTCCACGGAGCTTCTTAGTTCCAGCAAGACAAGAACCGGAAACCGAGTGGCAGAACGACCCCTGTCGGCACTCCCCATACTTCGTACGCCCTGGGTCCGCCTTCGAGCTTGGAGACAGCCTTGACAGCCCGCTCCTCAGGTCCATGCGCTGTATGCGGTCAATCCCGTGCAGACCCATCCGTGGTATTACTCTCAGATGTACACAGAAGCTGCAAACCCAATACATTTCCCTCATAAGCCGACGTGGTAGCTGCCGTACGTGCCCCCAGTCCCGAGTGTGCTGCATGGAGGGCAGTGGGAGCGCGGAAATCTCACCGCGATGTTGCAGGATGCTATTCTTGTGCCTGCGGGCATCGCTGGGGAGTAGTCAAGAGACGAACAAGGGCAAGCGGCGAGACTCAGGTGGACAGCACGGCGGTCAGACGGAGCCCAATCCCTGCAGGATGTAGGACTCGATCGTAGAGCTTTCAAGCAGGAACCACGATCCCTTCAAATTCCGTACTTCGCGTCGACGATTCTTACGTCTTTCACATTTGTTCTCCTAACATCACTTTGACAAGATATTCTGGGAATGAGGCGGCGGATCCTATGGTGTCTATACAACGTGCCCAGGATATTGATTGCGCCTGCCCGAGGTGCCCTGACTGGTTCGATGGGTGAGTGCGCGAGCGAACGGGCGAACGAAAAGGCGAATGAATGGCGAGCGAACGATCGCGAATAGGCGAACTCGCGGACGGCACGGGGCCCGGATACCCTTATCCGGTAGCGACGTACCGATCAGTCGTCTTCGATCTAGATCTAGAATAATCACAGCGGTGAAAGTGCACAACGCACAGGCGACGCACCCAGGAGACTTGTTGTCCGGCACCTCACCGTCTCCTTGTCTCCGGCCGCCTGCAATATCATGATTGATTCCTCAGACCACGTCGTGTCCCGCAGTGTCGCCACGAAGATCAACGAGCCAAACATGACGATCACGGAGCAGGAGGAGGGCGATGCCGCTGATGAAGACGTGGATGAACTCGAGGAGAGCGATGTCGGCGGCACAGAACGTGCGGAGGAGCGGCGCCAAGTGAAAATTGAGGTCAGTGTACCATACATTCACACTTGTTATGCCGTTCACGACGTTCTCCGTTAGTTCCACGGCGACTACAAATGTGATCGCTGCAAGCGTGTTGAGGAACGGGCACAAAGACGGGCAGCAAAGCTCGGGAAAGGCCCCAATGAAATCGCGCCGTTCATTTGCACGATCTCCGGGAGACGGAAGCGTTGCGACTTCTGCTCAAAGGGCCGGCGACCACACTGCTCGGTTCAGGTGAGTGTTTTCTCATCCTTACGCCACATTCGATGCTGTGCTGAATTTTGTACACGAGCCATATCTCATCAACAGTTTGGTCAGCGTCGATAAGGACCTTGTCGGCACATATACGTCCAACCACGCTCCCGAGGCCACAGTCACTGGGATCGAGTCCAACACCAAGATCTACTCGCCAGCCCGCGTACAGGACGATTCGCCTCGAACGAGGCATACGACCAGCCTCGCAAAGCCCAAGCGCAAGAACGCAGTTAAAGCAGCGAAAAAGGTCGCAGGCGTTCGCAGCAGCGCAAGCCAGCCCCGCAAGCGTGCTCAGCCGCGCACACGTATCGCCACCTCAGTAACTGGATCGTCTTCGCACTCAAATAACTCGCCAAGTTGTGTCGAGACCGATCTCTTGAACGAGGAGGGGCCTCGTCTCCGTAGCACTGCGGAGGAGGCCCCGGATGTCCTGCGCAGTGATGTTCGCAGACTCGAAAGCGAGATGCACGAACTGCGCAACGCATTGGAAGCTGAGCGGGCATTCCGGAAGGAGGTAGCAGTCGATCTCGCCAAACTTCGCAGTGAGGTGGATGACCTACGCGCTGGCACCGGTGTGTGCCCCTTGGCCGCTCATGAACCGGATATATCGTCGTTCATTGCCAGGGTTAGGAGGCCGTTGGGCAGTGTCGATGATCGCGATGATTGTGATGTAAGTTTATGTCCATAAATCATATTTCCCCCGCTGATGACTGGTATCAACCCTGTTACCTGTTAGATGACTCGTCAAACGGCTGGTATGTCCAGTGAGCGTACCGAAGGCAACAACAGCCACGGTGCTGCAGTGAATTTCACTGCATCGATCACGCCCTCTGGTCTCGATGTTGGACAACGCAGCGAGCTCTCACTATAGCGTCTCCGCCTTTGGAGACGACACATAATACATGCTGCTGGGTGGGTTAGTGCCATGCGCGCCGTGTAGAGTACCGAGGCAATTTCGCAGTGTCCAATAACTGTACAGTGTATACTATCTTATTGTAGGTGCGAGCGCAACGGCCCGCCGCGAAACGTCCACACTCGTTTACTGTCTTCGATCGCACGGCGATGACCCAGACTTCTTCTGCGTCACGCCCAAGGATAACATCAGCTCGCATTGTCGGTAGCTCTTCTCCCACTAAGCAGCTCAGCGCGCGACGCGAGGTGCCGATGTTTTCGAGTTCGACATGGGGATGTGGCGGCGCTAATGACGGCTTACGTCATGCTCTCACGCCCCGCGACCTCAGCGCTTCAGTCCGACGACTTGCAGCCCGTCATGCTACATGCGACGGCGCTCAACGCTCACGGCGTCCACCATCCCGCAGCTGCAGCACCTCCGTCGCAGCCCCGCCGTCGCAGTCCGTCCGAAGCCCGCCCGGAACGAAGGGACCCGCCAGCTGGCGGGTCGAAGCACGGCGGCCTAGCCCGCGAGGACGTCCGCCAGGTCGACATAGGAGATGCGCGACGACTCTCTGCGAAACGTTGGCAGGATGTCGCTTTTATGCGGAGTCCTGTAAGTGCGCTCTTCGCGTGTCCTTACCCGAAGCTGACCATCCACAGGGGACTGTCGCCGATGGCGGATTCACCGCCACCCGAATTCGATTCACAGGTCCAAGGCGTCGACCACCTCGTTTCACGCCCTCGGATCTGGACGGGGCAGTCTCAGCTACGCGGGTCAGTCTCAGCGATCGCAGCGTAGCGGGCGCGTCGTTGTCGCAGCAACAGAAGCAAAGTCGGCGAGTCGCGCAGCCGGTGGAGCGGTACCGTAGGAGGAGCCATGCCAGGGTGCGAAGAAGAGGTGCGTGGCGTGAAATTTCTCCTTCACTCGATGCTAACCGTTGTCTTCGATGTATAGAAAACCCCTTACCACGTACTTGCCGCGCCGAATGCGCTAGCGAAGGCGACGCTTCGCGCGAAGATATCCGAACTGCAGCCCACGCCTCGCCCGCCCATCCGTCGCCCCCGTCTCGCCCCGGTCGTCCGTTTTGGTTTCGACCATGCGTTGATGACCGGGCGGTGAGCTCCCGTTCTTGACGAGCGGTAGAGCGAACCTACTCGCTGTGGCTAGTTTCCCAGGGTGTTTGTCTATGCACTTCTCACTGCTGCAATCCGTCGCCTGCGCGCGCTGAATGCAGTGAGCCGTGAGGTCGAGTGCGGGACGGCCAGGCTCGCGTGTGAGTTGCAGAGCGTGCTCAAGGCGGAGATGATAGACAGGTGACCGCCTCGGCCGCGCGGATATCACGCTCTATGGTATGGGGCGATTGGCCGCGAGTAATGGTCGACAAGTCCACTGCACTTGGCGCAAGCAAGGAGCCCAAGGATGCGCACCCTGAGCTGATGCAGGCAGAAACACGGCTCACGGAGTCGGTGGTGTGGACCACACACAGCACTTACTACCGCTGCGCCGGGGGCCTTGTGTGGGCTCCGGTCTTCCTATCATTGGTAGCTCTCATGCAGGGCACCCAAGGTCCGTCCCCCTTTGTGTGAGAGTAGAGCTACTGATGACCCCGCCTGCAGCCGCCAACAACCTATTCCTTGGCTAGTGGACTGCGGAGAGCGTCAAGGGCTTCACTCAAGGGGATTACATGGGGACATATGCTGCCCTCCACCGCCGCATCTCGGTCGAGACAAACGCCTGGACTCTGTCTTGCGGTCAAAATCGTACTCTGCCTATGTTGGTACGCTGCACCAGTATCTCCATTCTTCCTTCACTGACAACGATATGCGCAGAATCGCTCACCAGCATTAGCACCGTCCGCGCACATAGAGAAGAAGTGAGTATCGCATCGTAACGACGCAGTCGTACCCAGGAACTTACGCCCGTGCAGGGCAGATTCATTCGGAAGACGGAAGACGGTCTCGACGTGGAGAACAGGGCCTGCTACATAGTCATCGTGATCCAGCAGTGGCTGAGCGTACGGCTCAACCTGCTCTGCAGCATTCTCGTCCTCGTTGTGCTCGACATCGCGCTCTTCAGGCCAGGTTCAGCAAGACGATCAGCCCTAGCAAGGTCGACATCGTCCTGTTGTACAGATTGAGCAATGCGTGCTCGCTCGGCATGCGATCCTCATCGTCCGTGCGTAGCAGTCTCCACATCGACATCCACCATCACCTGTTCTAATTCTTGGTTCTCCTTCGGCGGCTGCAGCTCGGCGTCGACCGCTCTGACGACGACTTCCTTCTCCCGGCCCTCCCTCAAGTCGCGCTCTCAGTCTTTATCGCCCATCCTGCCGTCCCTCTGTCCTCCACACTGAGCCCGAGTCGATAAGACACTCGTGTTATCCCCGCCCTCTCATGTCGTTTCTTACGTCGGATGACCCGTTATGCCCGGCTGCCACCGCCTCCGCGAGCTCCCATACAGGCTCAGAGAATTCCTCACTTAGCCGCGGTCGTGCCCGCACCCGTTGTTCAGGTCGGCTCGGAGCTGCGGTCTGTCAAGGATGGGCTGGTGAAGCGAGTGGGTCGTTCTGTGTCGACGCCCCATGATGGACATGGCGGCACAGTTCCAAGTTCCAAAGGTCACAAGTGAAGGCCACGTTGTTCGGCACGGGCACTGACTTCTCCTGATCCCTCTCTGACTCCCGCTGCCGCTTGGGTTCCCCCTCCTTCCCCATCACCCTGGCGGACGCGCCGTGCCTCTGCACCCTCGCCCTCCGCGCGCTCGCCTTCGACGACGAGCTGTTTGACACGTACTGCACCGAGCTGCCGTCTGACGGAGACCACACGAAGCCACGTCCACTGTTATGCACACCACGTTGACGATGCCTGATCAATATCCCCGTAGAGACTCAGAGGGCACCCGCACGGATGCGCAATTGATCTCTGCCATCCAGCGGACGTGGCTACTGCCGCAGGACGGGGCGCATGACGCCGTGGCGGAGGCGAAGTTCAGTCTGGACTCTCTCGTCGGCGACGAGGGGAGCAACTACTCCGCTGGCGAGAAGCGGATGTTGGTGCTCTATCGAGCGTTGGCGAAAAACAGTCGCATCATCGTCCTCGTCTGGGATGTGTAAGCGCTTGTTGGCGTCTAGTACGGCACCGGAGTCCGCCAGAGTCGCCTTGAGCGCTTGTGCCCCCGCCCCGTCCTCCCGTCCTACGCCGACCTCTGGTCCCTTTCAAAAGCATTCGTGCTCTGCTATGTCCACCTCAGCCTCTCTCTATGCCTCAATTCTGGTACAACGGACGTCCGCTTTGGTTTCGACCATGCGTTGATATCTGGGCCGGGGAACTCCTGCCCTCGTATGAGCAGTTGAGTGAACCTCACCGTTTCCACGAGATGTCGACCCTCCGGGCTCCAACATTCTACCTCACGAAGGCTTGAAGATGCTTCGCACCATTAAGTATCAGCGATGTGTGCCGTCTAGAGCCCAATGAACGCTGTACTCGCGATGGTCCCTTCGATGTTGCACCGAAGATATCTCAAGGGGCCGACAACCCGATTCTCGACATTAGGCCCTGCTGTCCCCGTTTTGCAAGAACATGGTCGACGAATCACCCGAGTGTGATCCACCCCGCCGAAGCCGTGCGTGCAGGTGCCCGCGACCAACGTCCGCATCGCGTCTGACCTCGCATGCTCGATTCGCCTCGAGCAGCCAGATGAACCGGCGGGCGCGTGAATGAACAGAAGGATGAGTGAGCGGATGTACGGACGGACGAGTTTGCGGGCGAGTTGTTTGCGAACGCACGAGCTCTACGGGACGAATTGGCGTTGCGAGTTGCGCGCCCTTGACGGTCTTCTCGCCGACCACACCAAGGATATCTCCGTCAAAAGTGGGAGCGCGAGCAACTAATCGTCACGATCTGGCACGACTCGGCGCTCGAATCCGCCTTCTCTGCCGTCGTCGTCGAAGACTCCTCGCTTTGCTGGACCGTTGCCGGAGACCCCCAGTGGCGACATCGCGAGCGAACATCTGCGCCTTCTCGGTCGCAATGAACGCCTGGCCGGACTCCCCCCCCCCTCGCCGCGAATGCAGATAAAGGGCGTTGAGAAGTGCGAGGACGTCGACACCTTCAACGGGACAGAGGTTGCCGCGATCCACTGCTACGTCAAGATATTCGATCGCGAGCCGCCGCTCAGCAGACAATGCAAGCCTGCGCCACATGAGTATATAAAGCGACGGCGAAGTCGACCAACGTGTAGTCAAGCAAGCCCCATGTCCTCCCCTTCTCCCTCGGTCAGCACCCTCTCCGATAACGTCGTCGTCGTCCGCTCTGGGAGGCTCCCCGACAAGTAAGTTGGTCGCCCTTCCCTCATGAGTTGTACCGCTGAGCATCAGTTGACAGAAGAATTCTTGTCTTCTATGTGGCGGAATATCGACTAGGAAGGGTCGCAACTGTTGGCGGCGGGAGCATCATGAGGCCTGGACACCTGGTCTTCATACCTCTCCCTGGCGGTCGTTGTGAGTCTGCCCTTCCAACTCGTTGCTCTCGGCCCGCCACTGACGGCTGCCTCCCGCAGATGCCTTCTTCTGCTGCGGACCTCGCGAGGTGCGAGGAAGGCCTATCGGCTCATGGAACGTTCAAATCGTTGTCCAAGAGGTGAGCGTGCAGCCGGTTCAATGGCTCAGTCACTGAGATGTTGTGCTGTAGTCTACATTGACCGTTTATTGGTACGATGAAGTGGCGGACAAGGTTCACTCGGTGACTATGTACGATGACGAGAGTTTCCGTACGCTTGTGTGCCATTGCTTCGGAGGGAGTGGCGACGGCGCTATCTCGCAGGGCGTTGTTAGCTCGCAGAGCACCAGGTCGTCCTGGCGCCACGCCTGTGGCGTCATCGTTTTATACCTCGTCGCTCTTTATATCTCCTTCAAAGCTACGCCTACTTTTGTCTCAGTCACGAAGTACATGTAGAGGATCACTGTCTCCTGGATTTCGAGGCCCTGATTGTTTCCCTTCCCTCACTTTCTTCCCTTCCTCCTCTCACCCTCTTCTCTTTCCACAAGTGCAATGGCTACGTCGCGCATCGAATCTCGCCGTAATACTGTAATTATGATTTAATGCGTTTCAATACAACCGGAGGACCTCTGCTCCTACACCTCAGCCATGCCCCTTGTGCCACTGACGTTGCATTTGCGCGGCTGCGCGCGAGCGACGAACGTGTGCGAGTGCCAGTGGGACAACATCATGCACATTTCGAGCATCTTGTCTTCACTGTCGTCGCTATGATGCAGAAGAAGCTCGGCCACCGCTCCCTCCAGCTGGCATCGGGCGTGCGCGCGTTGATCGGCGAAGTTCGAAGGCGTGCGTTGACATCAAGACATCCCTTCTGTGCTGCGACGATCTGAGGTGGCGACTCCGATTCACCATCTGGCTGTCCAAGCTCCTCCGCGCGCGACTTGAGGTGCCGATGTTTTCGAATTCGACATGAGGATCTCGCGGCGCTAATGACGAATTACGTCATGCTCTCACGCCCCGCGACCTCAGCGCTTCAGTCCGACGACTTGTAGCCTGTCATGCTACATGCGGCGGCGCTCAACGCTCACGGCGTCCACCATCCCGCAGCTGCAGCAGCCCCGTCGCACCCCCGCCGTCACTGTCCGTCCGAGGTCTGCCCGGAACGAAGGGACCCGCCAGCTGGCGGGTTGAAGCACGGCGGCCTAGCCCGCGAGGACGTCCGCCAAGTCGACCGACATGGGAGTCAACATAAGGTGTCGGCGCGACGAATCCCTGCGGAACGTCGGCAGGATATCGCTGTGCGGCGATCTGTAAGTGCGCTCTCCGCGTGTCCTTTCACAAAGCTGACCTATATATGCAGGAGACTGTCGCCGATGGCAGATTCACCGCCACCCGAAATCGACCCACAGGTCCAAGGCGACGACCACCTCCGTTTCACGCCTTCGACCGTGGATGGGACAGTGTCAGCTGTGCGAGTCAGTCTCAGCGATCGCAGTGTAGCGGGCGCGTCTGTGTCGCGGCAAAGCAACAGAGACAAAGGGCGGCGAGCTCCAAGTCGCGCAGCCGGTGGAGCGGTACCATAGGAGGGCTATGCCCGGGCACGAAGAAGAGGTGCGTGGCGTGAAACGTCTCTTTGATTCCATACTAACTCGTTTTCCTGGATAGACGGCAAACATCCTACCCTGTACTTGCCGCGCCGAATGCGCTGGCGAAGACATCGCTTGCCGCGAAGATATCCAAACTGCACCAGATCGTTCGGTCTTGCGTTGGCACAACACAAGACGAAACGATGTGGTGCTTCCTCCGCGTCGAGGTCCAAGTCGACATGGGGTCGTTTCGTCGGACTGGCCCCGCGCCTCGCGCGCCCGTCCGCCGCCCCCTCTCGCTCCGGTCGTCCGTTTTGGTTTCGACCATGCGTTGATGACCGGATGGTGAGCTCCCGCTCTTGATGAGCGGTAGAGCGAGCCTACTCGCTGTGGCGCAGTGTCCCAGGGTGTTTGTTTGCGCACTTCTCACTGCTGCGAACCGTCGCCTGCGCGCGCTGGACGCAGTGAGCCGTAGGGTCGAGCGCGGGACGACCCGGTTCGCGTGTGAAGTGTAGAGCGTGCTCAAGGCGGAGATGGCAGACAGGTGACCGCCTCGGCCGCGCAGGATATGACACTGTTATGGTCTGGGGCGATTGGCCGTGAGTAATGATCGACGAGTCCACTGCACTCGGCGCAGGCAAGGAGCCCGAAGAAGCGCAACCCGAGCAGATGCAGGTACGCTGCATCAGTATCCCCACTCTTCCCTCGCTCACAATGATACGCGCAGAATCGCTGACTGGCATTACGACGGACGGCATGCTGCAGCGAGAGTGTCTCGTCGATCCCGATGTCAGTGCATACTTGCTCATCATGCTTGATGAGGTGCACGAGCGAACCATCCACACCGACGTGCTGTTCGGTCTGTTGAAGAGTAAGTCAGCAACACTTTCGTGCATGCGATAGCCTGCTGATACGTTCTGCAGAGGCCATGAAGCGTCGCCCAGACCTCAAGGTCACTTCGGCTACCCTCGATGCCGAGAAGTTCGCCAAGTACTTCTTCGGATGCCCTATCTTCACGATACCGGGTCGCACATACCCTGTGGAGATCCTGTATACGAAGGAGCCCGAGACGGACTACCTCGATGCCTCGCTTATCACCGTCATGCAGATTCACCTGTCCGAGCCTCCTGGCGATATCTTGCTGTTCTTGACGGGCCAGGAGGAGATCGACACGACGTGCGAGATCCTGTACGAGCGTCTGAAGGCACTTGGCCAGAAGGTCCCCGAGCTCATCATCCTTCCCATCTACTCCGCGCTGCCCTCGGAGGTTCAACCGCGAGTCTTCGATCCGACGCCTCCTGGCTCTCGCAAAGTGGTCGTTTCACGAAAGTCGCAGAGACCAGCTTGACGATCACAGGCATTTACTGTGTCATCAATCCGGGCTTCTCAAAGCAGAACGCGTACGATCCAAAGCTGGGAATGGACTCGCTCGTCGTTATGCCTATCTCCCAGGCTCAAGCACGACAACGCGCTGGCCGTGCGGGTCGTACGGGCCCAGGGAAATGCTATCGGCTCTACACTGAAACCGCATTCCGGAACGAGATGTTGCCGAGTTCCATTCCTGACATTCAGCGAACGAACCTGGCGCATATCATCCTCATGTTGAAGGCGATGGGTATCAACGATCTTCTCAGCTTCGACTTCATGGACGCGCCGCCCGCACAGACGATGTTGACCGCGCTCGAATCGCTCTATGCCTTGTCAGCGCTGGACGACGAAGGTCTTCTGACGAAAGTGGGCCGCAAGATGGCCGATTTCCCCATGGAACCCCCGCTCGCAAAGATGTTAATCGCTTCGGTGGAGCTGGGGTGTTCCGAGGAGATCCTCTCCATTGTAGCGATGTTGTCCGTTCAAAGCATCTTCTACCGTCCTAAGGAGAAGCAGGGACAGGCAGACTCGAAGAAGGCCAAGTTCCATCAACCAGAGGGCGACCATCTGACGCTACTGACCGTGTACAACGGCTGGAAAGCGAGCAACTTCTCGAACCCGTGGTGTTACGAGAACTTCATTCAGGCGCGAAGCATGCGAAGGACACAGGATGTACGGAAGCAGCTGTTGGGTATCATGGATCGGTGCGTTGCAATCGGGCACTCGTATGTTTTCCGTTCGTGACTGACTCATCTGGTACCTTTATAGTTATGAATACGGGATCATTTCAGCCGGGCGAGACTACAATCGCGTCCGTAGAGCTATCTGCTCCGGGTACTTCCGTCACGCGGCAAAGAAAGACCCGCAGGAGGGCTACAAGACGCTCGTGGAGGGCACGCCAGTGTACATCCACCCGTCGTCCGCGCTAGTCAACCGTAACCCTGAGTGGTGCATCTACCACGAGCTCATCCTCACGACGAGAGAGTACTGCCATAATGTCACAGCCATCGAGCCCTAGTGGCTGGTCGAAGTGGCGCCACAAAGGTCGCCGACGCGAACAAGATCAGCAAGCGGAAGAAGCAAGAGAAAATCGAGCCGCTGTTCAACAAGGTACGTTTTTTGTGTCTTGAAGGGATGACGGATTACTTACAACGGTCTGCAGTACGAATATCAGACGAATGGAGACTGTCAAAGATCAAGAGGAGTGCTCGCTCGGTATGTCGCCATCTGTTTGGAAGTTGTTCAGTTTCTGATACGCTTACAGAGTCAAACTTTCGGCTGAAACATGCTATATGCTCAAATCTTGACGGCGTGGACACGTGCAATATCGGGTTGAAGACACAGCGTGCGCAGCCGCCTTGCTCTCGTCCCGCAAGACAACGTGCTCTTCAAGGGAGCACTCCGTCAGAACCTGTACGTCCACTGTCATGCACACCACGTTGACGATGCCTGATCAATATCCCCGTAGAGACTCAGAGGGCACCCGCACGGATGCGCAATTGATCTCTGCCATCCAGCGGACGTGGCTACTGCCGCAGAACGGGGCGCATGACGCCGTGGCGGAGGCGAAGTTCAGGCTGGACTCTCTCGTCGGCGACGAGGGGAGCAACTACTCCGCTGGCGAGAAGCGGATGTTGGTGCTCTATCGAGCGTTGGCGAAGAACAGCCGCATCATCGTCCTCGTCAGTCTCAGTCCCGCCGTGCTCGTACAGGGGTTTAGGCGCTGATGTCGATCGTTCTAGGACGAGGCGACGAGCAACGTTGACCTGCAGATGGACGCGGAGCTGTTTCCGATGAAGTGGTCATTGCGCTGAATGCGGTAGGTTGTACATATAGTAGTCAGTAGTGTATCAATCGTTCTCAGACCGCTGCGTCGGCGGTCACATTGCCGAAATTGGATCTAAGTTGCTTTTGCCACTGACTGTCATGATCGCTGTGGATGGTAGTACATGTCGTAGTTGGCTATCGCATCCACTGTCGAGGTCGATGTCGAGATCGTTGTCGAGATCGCTGATTCGTTTTCGATGTGGTCGACATTGTGTTCGACGTGGCGTTCAAGATCGTCGTCGAGATCGCGGTCGACGTCGCGGTCGGCGTCGCGGTCGGGATCGTGGTCGGTGTCGCGGTCGGGATCGTGGTCGGTGTCGAGATCGTGGTCGATGTCGCGGTCGAGATCGTGGTCGGTGTCGCGGTCGAGATCGTGGTCGATGTCGCGGTCGTTGTCGAGATCGAGATCGCGGTCGTTGTCGAGATCGAGATCGCGGTCGTCGAATTTGGTATCGTGTTGCCTTGTACCAGGTCTGGAAAGTTCGTGTATTACCTGAGTATTCTGAACGAGTATATTTCGAATAGTCGTTCCCTGTTTCATGTATATCCTGGGCCAGGAAAGCTATCATTGTCTTACAATCTGTTCGAGAAAAGTGTGCGGGGAATATGTAGCGTGCTCTCGACATACTTGAGCGGAGCATATTACGTGACCCATATCTGGGCAACAAACATTTGTATTATATCGTACCATGTTCCGCCTCCGTGTATCTTAGGATTACTTAAGCAATACCCGCAATATCCTTGTGCGAAATATCGTCAGGATTCTTTAGCTAATCATCACATGCCCTCACCATATTCCTGCCCAGAACATCGCATTTTGCCCCCAGTGTGTATAGCTCAGAGCTCTGCTAACACTACCAATCTATTATCTAAAATGGCACCTTCTTCCCAGCCCTCTTCACTTTGCACAAGGTGTGCTCTACCATGACAGGATCAAACACAATCTTGGACTTCACATCAGCAGACAGCTTGGCCTCAAGATGATCATGTGCAAGCTTAAAAGCCTTGCACACTTCATCTTGAGTAGCTGACTTGCCGCTGATCAGTCCAAGACATGCAAGACCGGCAAACACACCAGCCTTCAAGTTCCAAACCACCTCACCCATCTCCTCCACCGTTGGCATCTTCACCTTCCCAGCATATGCAAAGTCAGCAGCCAGGAGAGTGGAAGTCAGAGGTCCAGAGGATGGAAGGCGCTTGCGCTGGATAGCTCCAGTGCGACACTCTGCAAGGAACTCCTGTCGCGCATCCATGAACGCAACAGGGTGCGCACCAAAGAACTCACAGAAGTGAGGCTCAGCTGCAAAATAAGCCTCTGCATGCTGAGGATCGCGCTGGGGTTGGTGTGTCCCACAGCAGGACTTGTCGCAGAGGTAGTCCTCCGGGTGAGCAGCGATGAGTTTCTTGAAGTCCTCAAGAGAAGGGAAGAAGTTGGGAGAGAGGTAGGAGGCCTTGGCTCCAAAGGTGATGCAGCGGTGGAGGATACCGCTGGCAATGGCGCCGACCTTGCCTATGTTGTCAGGATGGAAGGGGCCAGAGGGAGATGTTACCGCGCAACGGCCCCTAGTGAGCTCCCGGAAAGGCAAGTGCTTGTCATTGTTCTGTGCACACCAGCACTGAAGAACAGACGACAACTTGGTCAACTTCGCACCTTCCAGGAAATGGGGGAGGACGCCATAGCAGTCCATGATGAAGCCCAAGAGCGCATCAAGACCGTGAGCATCAGAGTTGGTGAGCTGCAGGGGAATGGTAGGCGCAGGGGGAGCAGAGGAAGATGGAGTGGAGGGAGCTGGGATGACGCTGGCACGAAGTCTGAGGAACTCAGCAAACACCTATGAAAGCTTGATGGGCGATAGACATGTGGATGTCGAGAAGTACATCTGGCACCATCCCAAACTTGCACCTGCTGGCCATCCACTCCCGTACCAGTGCCCTATCTGCAAAGCTCTGTGCTATTTGGAGAGCAGGACGGGTCGTAACAAGAGACATCTTGCAGGCTACCAGTGCATGAACAGACGTGCACCTATCGGTGCCTCTGGGAGGTCTCATATGACCCAACGAAGCTGGATAAGGAGCATGGGAAGTGGTTCCAGGAATTGCATGAAGGTGAAGAGATGGCTGATGATGATAGTGCATTGCAGGGGTTCGGGTAACCCGCGAGGGTCGCGGGTAGGGGTACTCGCGGGTAGGGGTCTGGGTACTTGATTTCCGTACCCGCATACCCGCCCTGCAGCCGTGTGGGTATTACCCAAAGAGGCAACCCCGCAAGTGCCCAAACTCACGGGGATGCCCTTGCTTCCCCGACCTGCCCTCTCCTTCCACCCGGTCGACTCGCTCACAGTGTCAGGCACAGCAACGTAGCGCACATATGCACGGCAAGCACCCACGGCAAAATCCCCGCACTCAAACCCCGACAAACACAATGTGGCCCTGGGCTCAGCGACCTACTCATGGTGGGTGTGGAAGACGAACGCACAGCAGGCGTAGACAACGAGCGGACGGCGGGCACGGGTGAACGGCTGGCGGGCGTGTTTGGGGGCAAGGTCGAGGGCCAGAACCAGGTGAGTCCAGCCACACGGAATGGGCTTGCTAACAGCAAGCGTAGGACATGGTGACGCCGTGCAGCGTGACGCACACGACGACCGCAGGCACGCAGGGCCAATGCGCTGCGTGTAGGCACGGCCGACGAACAAGCGGCGGGCGAACAAGGCCGGACGAGCGACGAGCGGGCGTGCGGCAACACACGTCAACCGCAAGTGTGCTGGGCAACCGTCCAGCATGCAAAAATGACCTCGGAACACGCGGCGAACGGGCGGGCGAGCCACTGGACTGCGGGCACGCGGATGGGTCTGCGGGCGGGACAGCGAGCGACAGGGCAACTGGGCAGGCGGGCGGGCGTACAAGCCGGCGGGCGGACGTACGAGCGATAGCGCGAGCGGGCACGGCACGGACCAACACCACACGCACGTCCACCACAAGCGTGCTGGGCGAATGCCCAGTATGCACACGCGGCCGACGAACGCACGCATGAGCGAGCGGGCAGGCGCACAAACACACACACAGGTGAGCAGGCACGCGAGTGGATGGATGGACAAAGCTGCCCGCGCAGGCAACACTCACGGCGACCACGAGCGGGCAAGGCAAATGCCCAGCACACAAGCATGGCCGACGAAAGGATGCCACGTGTGCAAGATCAAGTCCGAGCGCGTGGCGGGTATGGGAGGGGGCGAGGTCGAGAGCGAGCAGGCCGGTGAGCAGACGGGCAGGCAGGTGAGTAGATGGGTCTTCACTGCCCGCGAGTACACTGCCCACATCATACGCGCTCGCGTGCATCCCCGCCTGCCTGCCCTCGCTCGACACAGGCCCCACGCACACGCTTCCTCTCCATTGCCTCGCACTCTGACTCCAACATCCGCATCACACCCTTAAGGCTACTCGACGCGTCAAGCCCCGCCGTCGAGCAGCTATCAAGTCAACTGAAGCTACGCAACTCAAACACATGGACGAGTGCACAGACAGACGAGCGGATGGTTGGACGACTAGACGAGCGGGCGTGTGGACGACTGGACAGGTGGGAGAGCTCGCCAGTGGACGGGCAGGGAAACTGGAAGACAGGCGGGTGACAAGCGGGCGGGCAGGTAAGTGGACGAGTACACCAGCACATTAACGGGCGAAAATACGCACAGCGACCGCGAGCGTGCTGGGCCAATGTGCAGCGCGCCGACACGGCCGATGAACGCACGCGCCAGCGGGAGAACGAGCAAGTACGCAAGCGGGTACAGACCAGGACTACGCGCACACCGAGCACGAGCGTGCGGGGTGAATGCCCCGCATGCAGACATGGCCGATGAACGGCGGAAGACGGGCGAGGGTGTGGGCACACCAGCGGGCAGATGGGAGCGCGTGCGGGTGGTGCGTGCAAGCGGGAAGCAGGCGGGAGGATGGATGGACATATGAACGAGGAGCTGGCGGGGATGCGCGAGCGGACGACAGGAATGCGTGAGCGGAAACACGGAGGACCGCGAGAGGGGAGGATGGCGGCGGGGGAGGACAGCGGGTGCATCTGTGACCCACCCCCGTCAAGAGAGTAAGTACAATACATCTTTCCATATCAATTATAATTAACAACCTTCATTTCTGTAGTACCTGTGTGGGATGCCACAGAGTTCTTTGATGCAAATGCTACTGCAGCATTTGACATTGAGGCTGTTGAACAGTTGTGCCCCCGCACATTCAACAAGCCTAGCAAGCACTCCATTGTGGCCGTATTCCATACAGTGTCTACGTATACCACAGCTTCCACACCTCATCCAAGTCTCTCCTTAGATGTTGTGGGTGCAGCTGTTCTGGTGGCCAACAATCTTGACTGAGGGGTGGATTTTGGGTGGACTCCATGTTACTGCATGTCTTTGCTGATGTTATGACCATATGATGTATGCCCATGATGTATGTTATGAATGTATGACAGTTATGTTCCATGCATGATCACTGCGTGAATATAGTGGAAGAATAAGCCCAGCTAAAGTTCCCAATGGCTTTACCTTTTAGTTATCACATGTGAACACAGTCACATGCTGAGAATGTCAGCACATCACATGTTTGTGTTCTACATTGTTTGAGCGCCTACTGTTCTTCTTTCTGCTGTCATGTATCTCCCAAACTCCAAGTCCATGCTGCTGTTCACAGTTGTGCTGTTGCATGTGTATGTGCAGGCACTGTTTATTGCTGCTAGTGTACTGCCTATAGACACAAGCACATCACTTCTATTGCCACAGAATGGTTGCTTGGCAATGAACAACGAGTGCACACAATCGGTGTACACTGCATACACTCCACATGTGCTAGCAGACACATTTCCCAAATCTTCTGCACCCATTATGGGTATGGCTCAGGAAAGCACCATCACAAAAACACTTCTAAATTGGCCCACATCAGAATATATTCCCAATAAAAAACCAGCATTGCCTTCCCAACGTCATGAAAATTTTCAACCCACCGTGTTTCAGTATATGCTTATTCCACACATCAATTTGTATACCATTATCAAGAAAATCAAGTTGCACTTGGGCCAATATAGCATGTACCGACATGACTTCCATACAGCACTACTAGGTCTCTTACAGGGCAGAAAAATGGATCCTGTGAAGTTGAAATTTTCATTCTTTTCAAGTGCTAGACAAAAAAGTTCAAGTTCAGTGAGGAAATCATCTGTGGCCCTCTTGGGAGGTGGACAGTCACGCTATAATGCTGGGGACTATGGCTATGGTCTCAACTGAACCCCCACATAAGTTCACACATTCAGCCATTACAAAATAGCTACCTACCGAATGATCAGTTTGCATTCACTGCATATTGTAAGCCTGATGAAACAGATGGCTACTTCAAGGAAACACAAAATTTGGTGGCTGCAAACATTCCACTACAGGAACTGCTTACTCTCCCTAAAAAGTATCTGTTGGCTATAGCCAAAGCACATTATATCAACTGCACCAATAAGTCCTCAGTAGCTGCTATACGTTCAGCAGTCAAATCCCATGTCTGCAATATCACCTGTGGCAGTATGCTAAGTCTAATGCAGCATTGGAAAGGGCACATCAAATCTACTGCAAGAGTGCAACATTTCAGGAATGCCATGGATACCAGTGCAGTAAACACAGCAAAAACTCCTTTTCCCCCATTGCCATTGAGTCAAACTACACAGAAACAGATCATAACTGACTTTTCCACTGAGATACAGCCAGCCCATCATCATGAACTGGGTTGTGCTGTCTGTGGACTGCTGTATCCTCTTTCAAAACTTCTTCCTCTTGACTCTGTGACAAACAGTCTTCATCTGTTGGATGCTGCAGGTCAAGGAGTAACAAGAAAAGAGCGGACAAGTGACAGTGACTCTGTGGAAGAAGTGTCTGGACCAGTTCTAGTGCCCAGTGCTAGACATGTGTGCCATACATGCCAATCTGCATTAAAGGAAAATGAGGTCCCAAATCATGCACTTGCAAATGGGCTCTGGATTGGAGAGATTCCAAAGCAGCTACAAAATCTGACTTGGGCAGAGCATCTTCTCATTGCACGTGTGAATCACAACCGTTGTGTAGTTCGTGTCAAAGGCTCACTGCAGAGCAAGATGATTGCCAATGCAGTCTGTCATACTATTCCTATGCCCAAGGTGTATGACGCATTGCCTCCCGGTCCCAGTGAGCTGGATGAAGTGCTGGCATACATATACATTGGTCCTACCCGTCCAGTTGCTAAGGATCACCAACGTACACCCTTGCTAGTCCGCAGACAAAAAGTAGCTGCAGCATTGGAGTGGCTGAAACTGAACCACATAGACTATGCAGACTTAGACATATCCTACCGCAACCTCGAGATGTATTCTGAAGACACTCCTCCAGTGATACCCGACTATCACATAGGCACAGGCAACAAGGATCCTGAGACCCAAGCTGCCAATGAATCTGAGGAGAATGATGGCACTACAGAGGGTCCATGTCCATTTGTAGTGCATGGGCTTATTGGTGAACAGCTCACAAATATGAGCACAGATGCATTACAGGCATAGGCACTGCAGCATTTTAAATCACAGAAAAAGGCAGCTCTTGGTATTGGGCAATCAGAACAGCCAGAGTCCCTATTCTCAAACCCACAGCTGTACCCACAGATGTTTCCTTGGCTATTTCCATATGGTCTTGGGGGTCCAGGAAATACAAGAGGGTTCAAGAACATATCAGAGCCTGAGAGAAAACGACAACTGTTGATGTACCATGACAAGCGGTTCCAGACTGAAGCCTACTTTCCACTGGTTGCATTCAATCATGAACAGATGAAAAGCAGTGCAACTGGTGGATTTCTGCTTGCAGAGCAGCAGAAGTTTGCAGATGTAGCCAATAGGATCTTGTCTATAGATGAGAATGTCCTGGATGATTTGACTCAGAAACTCAAAGAACGTGGACACCACAAGCCAGAGACACAGGCAGAGAAGGACTGCTATCAGCTCATACAAGATGTTGATCATGTTGCATATAAAGTCCCTGGATCTCTGACAAGCAGGAAACACATGCGCAATAAAATATGGGCCCTCACTTCCTACCTCGGAGCTCCATCATGGTTCATAACATTTGCACCTGCAGATGTGAAGCATCCATTGTGCCTGTACTTTGCAGACACAAATGAGACATACAAGCCTGACATCCTTGATAATGATGCACGTACAAGGTTGATTGCAGCTAACCCTGTCGCAGGAGCTAGATTTTTCAATGTAGTTGTTGAGCTATTCATAAAGCATGTTCTAGGTGTTGGCTCTCTAATCATCCTGGCTTGTATGGAGACACAGCTGGATACTACGGAACAGTTGAGCAGCAGGGACGGATGACTCTGCACCTGCACCTCATGCTATGGATCACAAATGCATTGACTCCACAGGAAATACGTGAGCGTATCATGGACCCCACATCTGACTTTCAACAGAAAATGGTTCAGTATCTAGAAAGTGTCCACCAAGCAGAGTTCATGGGTGCAAACATGGCCGATGTGTATGACCAGTTGCTCAGTGATCAGCAGCAGGATAAATACATTGATCCTACCCTGACACTGCCAGACCCACCGCCTAATCAGATGCATACATGTGACAACAAGCACTTTGATGATTGTCAAGATCATGGATGGTGGGCCAAGTTCTACAAGACTGTGAATGACCTGGTATACAAGTCCAACCGTCATAGCTGCTCCACAGGCGAAAGTGATTGCAAATATGACAAGCGGACAAATAAGATCATGAAAGTCTGTAAGCAGAGATTCCCCAGGACAACAAGGCCATGCACAGTTGTTGATCCAGACACAGGTGCACTGCTCATGAAGCAAGGGGAAGCAAGGCTCAACACTTTCACTCCTGCCCTCACTTACCTCCTGAGATGCAACACGGATGTCACAAGCTTACTGTCTGGCACGGCAATCAAGGCAATCACTGCATATGTTACAGATTACATCACAAAGACTCCTTTGAAGACACATATGATGTTCTCAGCTGTGAAGACAGTATTCAGCAGAAATCCTGATCTCAAAGCAGGTGAAGATGGCAACCGCAAGGTGTGTGCACGGAAGCTGATCACTAAAATTGTCAATGCTCTCACTGCCAGTGCAGAAACAGGTGCACCAATGGCTTGCATGTACCGCCTTAATCAGCCAGACCATTACACCAGCCATACATTCCGCCCCTTCTACTGGAGGAGCTACATGTATGAGGTCCTGAAGGCCTGGCCGACTGAGGAGCCAGTGTACACTCCAAATGAGAAACCAGCCAAAGTAGTCATAGGCAAGAGCCATGATAAGTTTGTAGGCATTACACAACAAATGGACTACATGTACAGGCCAACTAAATATGCCCAAGTGTGTCTGTACGACTGGATCAGACTGAGTGACAAACAAACCATGGGACGTGCCATGAAACGTGCTACTCAGAAGCTCAAGCCAGTACATGAGAAGATTGCTAAATTGGAGAACAATGAGGACAAGAGCAAACGAGATATAAAGCCATTGCCTAGTCGCAGAGGTGGTGGCCAGGATAAATGCAAGGAAGAGTCTGATGATGATGACCCATTGTTGCTCACAAAGGAGACAGCACAGAAGGCTAGAGAGGATGAGCAAATGGATGCTATCACAAATTACCATGAGCCCACACGCTTCCAGCCCACTCATCCTCAGTATGAAACACACATGGCTGTCATGCTACCAGATCATTGTGCTCGGGTGCCCAATTTTGTTGGAGGCACATTGCCACGTCAAGACAAGGGTAATAGAGAGGAATATTGCATGACCATGCTCATGCTCTTCAAGCCTTGGCATAAAGGCTCAGACCTGAAGGATACTTCTCAGACATGGGATGATGCATTTGCTAGCCATGAATTCACAGAACGGCAGCAAGAGGTCATGAAGTTCTTCCACATAAAGTATGAGTGCAATGATAGTCGAGATGACTTTTCCAAGCACAGACAGGACAAAGGAGAACATGGAGGCCTGGGCTTTGAGGAAGAAGAAGAAGTTGACAATGATGATTACATTGATGTTGTGCAGAGCAGTGTAACAGGTGATGATGGGGCAATTGACTATGATCCAGAATGGGATGTTCTCGGGAGGAAGTCCCTGACTCGTATTGCACAGATGCAACAGGCAGAGAACATTGCTCATGCTAGTGGCTGGCTTGATGACTCCAAAGACAAGGCATCACTCTCACCAATGGACCGGTTCCAGCCCGTGAGCACCACGACAGGACCAGAGTGGAAAAGTGTTCTCAGCCAGAAGCGGGAAGATATTCTCCATCAGCGAGAGGAGCAGGCAGCAAGCAAGCCCAGAGATGAACCTGGTAGCCACAACAATGGCAATGACAAACCTGCAGACTATGTGGATAATGTGAAGGCAGTAGACTACAACTATATGTCTGTCAAATTCAGAGCAGCAGATGATAAGCTTCAGTCACTTATTGATGGCATAGTGAAAAGCTTCACATTGAATGAGGAGCAGGAAAGGGCTTTTCGTGTAATTGCTAACCATGCAACTCAGCCTCCTGCAGAGAAGCTGAAGATGTATCTTGGAGGAATGGCTGGAACTGGGAAATCTCAGGTCATCAAGGCTTTGATCAGGTTCTTCCAAGATCGCAATGAAGGCTATCGCTTTGCATGCATGGCTCCCACTGGCTCTGCAGCATCCCTCATCTCTGGATCTACATACCACTCCATGCTGGGATTCTCCAAATATGGTGATGCTAATAATGGGACTCTGCGGAATGTCCGTGACAGACTGAAGGATGTGGACTACATATTTCTGGATGAGATTTCCATGGTTGACTGCAACCATTTCTATGATATATCTGCACGTCTATGCCGCATATATAGCAACACTGGTGAGCCATTTGGTGGCAAAAATATGATCTTTGCTGGTGATTTTGCACAGCTTGAGCCACCAGGAACGGGGTACTCTCTGTTCTCAGCAAAGGTCAACAGTGTCAGACACTCTACGTCAAGTTGGAGACAACAGGAGGTGTCCCTTGGGAAGGCAATTTAACATCAAGTTACTACAGTTGTGATTCTCCGACAAAATATGAGACAGAAGTCTCAGAGTGCTGAAGATGCAAAATTCAGAAAACTGCTGGACAACTTACGCTACAAAGCTTGCACAATGGCAGATGTGAATTTTCTGCGAGGCCATATAGCTGGCCGGGGCAAAGGCAAACCAAAGCTTAGTGATCCCAACTTCCGGAATGTGTCTATCATACTGTCATACAATTCCCACAGAGACTGAATCAATGAAATTGGTGTAGCCAGGTTTGCAAAGGACACAGGCCAGACTCTGGAATCCTTTTACTCTCTAGACCATTATGGGAGTCCTGAGGAGAGTGAAAAAACACGCAAAATGAAGAAAAATGCGGATGTCAGACACAAGGTGGACAAGATCCATCCTCATCTGCAAAATCAACTCTGGGCATTGCCAAATAAAAATTCCAATAATCACCCAGGGATAATATCCCTCTGTGTAGGACTTCCTGTCATGATTAAAGCCAATGAAGCCACGGAGTGCAATGTCACCAATGGAGCAGAGGCAGTACTTGTAGGATGGGAATCCAAGCCACTCACAGGAGACAAGAGAATGCTGGATGTGGTATTTGTGAAGCTTACTGCTGCTCCCACTCCTGTCAAACTTGATGGTTTACCAGAGAATGTAGTCCCAATTGCTGCTCAGACAATAAAGATTCCCTGCTTGATGCCCAATGACCGCACACTGACTATCCACAGAACTCAAGTGGCTCTCATACCCAACTTTGCCATGACTGATTTCAATTCCCAAGGCCGTACCAGGCCATACAATGTGGTGGACCTCCAGAACTGCAAAAATCACCAATCTGTGTACACATGTCTGTCCAGGGGTTCAAGCTATCAGGGGACCATTATTGTCCAGGGCTTTGACAACTCTAAATTCATGGGCGGTGTCACTGGCTGGCTCAGACAGGAATTCAGAGAGCTGGAGCTGCTAGATGAGATCACAAAATTGAGATATGAAGGAACATTATCTCCAACAGTACAAGGGGTCACCCGTGTAGCCCTCATCCATGCTTACAGGAACACAAAGGGTGCTAAACACATGCCCAAGACCATGCACACTGCACTGAGATGGTCTGAGAAGCAGCCCTTTGACATTGAGGCTCCATACAAGGAAGCTGATGTTGGCTGCAGTGCGCCTCAGAGCGAATTCCAAAGGCCTAAGTCGAGCTCTGTAAAGTCTTTTATATTCAGGAATCAAAGATACACACCTAAGTCGAGCTCTGTAAAGTCTTAGGGACTTAGAGCTCGACGAGGCGGACTGTCTACGGTGTGCGTTACGTAAGGCGACCATAACTGTACAGCAGAAACAGCCACAAAGTCGAAATCAACGAAGCAGTGAAAAAACGGATGAGTGCAGGGGTTCAAATCCCTGAAGATGCAAACATTATGGAAAATGGTAGACTGAAGGGAATGACGTCGAAAAAGTACAGTATGCACGGTATAGTGATGGCGTCCATGTAGAATAAAGGAGAACACACCAGGACGCATTCCACGACTTGGACAGGGCAATGGAGCTCAGAATAATTCGCAGAAATGCGGAATAAATTCCGAGCTCAACAATAGATTCCGAGCTCAACACTGCATTTGGGGTTCACAATGCCTTCTGACCAGATTTCAGTGATTTCTTTCCCACATTGTTATTCTTTGTGGCACCTATTGGTGTATGTTCTGACTGGACTATTACCAAGTTTCTAGTGGTCTCCTTAGACCCCTTGTGAAAGATATTACTGGGGTTCTATTAGCTCAGACTATGTTATCTATTGATATATTATCCCAGCAGGCAGGCAATCTATGAGTGACTTGTCAAGCTGTACACTATTTCTGAGTGTTCATAACGCTGTGCTAGTGTTTCAGGACAACATGCAAGTGGTGTGTCATGAATCACAGAGCACATCCTTGATGATCAGTGAGAATTATTGGCACATCTACCCTTGCCTTACAATGAGCCTGTGAGCTTATTGTGCATCTTGAATGGCCTTGGAAAGTGGTGTACTGAGTCTTCTACTATTTTGTAGGATTCTATGAAGTATTTTATGTAGCTACAAGGCTGTGCATAAGTGCACAAAAGGAGCATCCCCATGAGCAAGTCCAAACATTTATCTCATCTACCACTTGCTTCTGTACTCTTATGCCAGTGTACCTTCAATTCATCAGTGATCAATCCTGCCCATGACTCTATCAGTCTTGATGGCACATTGCTTCACATTGTACTACATGAGCCCATTACTATTGACTCAGGAGCTGAGCTCCAATCCAGTAACATACCTTAGTATGGCTTTGTACTACTGGTCAGTGTCTGGTAACTGTTCACTTATGGTGAGAGCAAACTGCACATTCTTTGGTTGTATTCCTTGTATAACACATCAATTCTTGACAGGCCTTTTTCAGAATTCCTTACTGGTATACTTCTCCTCTGTATATTGGTTCCATCCTCCACTGTTGATTGGTTTGTACTTGGGGAAGTACTGTTAACAATCTGCTGAAATACATCCTTTGGTATCATAATTTCTCTGATCAAGGGCTAATACTTGTACAACAGCACTGACAGCAAGTCCCAACTGAGTAGTGGTTACTGTAGTCAACCCCCCAGATTCCCCTTCCCTGAGTTCTAGTTGATCTAGAGGATCTCCTTACTTCTTTGCAACATTCCCAAGCTATTTGCTCTATGTTACTATCAATACAAACCAGTAACACTGCTCATTAGTATTCAGATCATATTGATAAGCAACTTGGCAATTTACCAAGTAAGAAACAGATGTTGCTCATGATTGCAAGCTATGATCCTCATATTACAACAACCTAATAAATTAGCAGGCTCCTCTGAAGTGCAAAATGTGGAAGATATTCTATGCATAGACAATATACTAGCAGTCTTGCCAAGCATGACTTCTGATGCGGGCAGCATGAAGTTGTTCATAAATTGACATATCTCCTACCAAAGGGATCGTACTGCCAGCTATGGCCCTCTCCCCAGCAAGTCAGCACCACACACACATCAACCACGAGCGCACTGGGCGAATGCCCAGCATGCAGGTGTTGAGCTCGGAATCTATTCCGCATTTCTGCGAATTATTCTGAGCTCCATTGCCCTGTCCAAGTCATGGAATGTGTCCTGGTGTGTTCTCCTTTATTCTACATGGACACCATCACTATACCATGCCCACTGTATTTTTTTCCGACATCATTCCCTTCAGTCTACCATTTTCCATAATGTTTGCATCTTCAGGGATTTGAACCCCTGCACTCATCCGATTTTTCACTCCTTTGTTGATTTCGCCTTTGTGGCTGTTTCTTCTGTACAGTTATGGTCGCCTTACGTAATGCACATCGTAAACAGTCCACCTCGTCGAGCGCTAAGTCCCTAAGACTTTACAGTGCTCGACTTAGGCCTTTGGAATTGCTCTGAGGTGCACTGCAGACAACAGCAGGGATGGACAATGAACAGCGGGCAAGCAGGTGAAGGATGGGCGAGGGTGCAGGCACACCAGCGAGCAAGCGGGGGCGCGTGCGAGCAGCACATGCAGACGGGAAGCAGGCGGGAAGCAGGGAGGACACACAGGTGAAGGGCTCGCTGCCAGTGGGACGTGCGAGTGGATGGTGGGAACACACGAGAGGGGAGGATGGTGGGGACCCGGCTGCACGAGCAAACACACGAGGTGAGTGAGCACGTGGAGTACCAGACGCGTGTGTGCGTGGACGAGCGGACACACGAGCGGGTGGACGAGCAGGCAAGCGGGCGCGTGGCGAGGACAGCGAGGACAGTGGGTGTGTCTGTGACCCACCCACTTGCCCGCACACTCAGTCACTCCCTCCCCCGCTTGCCTACACACCCGACAAGCCTCCACTCGCCTTCTTGCCCACTCCCCTGCTCACCCACCCATTCGCTCGTCAACCCACTCACTGACCCGCCGGCCTGCAGTACCCGCACAGCGGGTCTGGTACCTGGGTGGGTACAGGTACAGGTAAGCCCCCGGATACCCGGGGGTTTACCCCTGCAATCCACTAGTCTTAACACCTTGCACTGAAGCAGGGAGGTACGTTAAGGCAAGCACTTATGGCGCTACTTGCTGCAGTCACGTGACCGAGACATTGGGTGTCGCTCAGCCACCTGCAGCCCAGGACTTGCCACTACTGTACAGACTGTGCACCTGTTTCATGCAGAGATCATTTTTTAGGTGTTTTCAGCTCATTTCTCTTCTGGTTTCTGACTGAAAACAGTGTCAAGAACAGCTTGAAATTTTCGCAAAAGGCATGATAGGATCACCTTCGCGAAACACCCTAATATTGCTCTCATTAACCCACCCTCTCAATATATCAGATTCTCTACTGTTGATTTGGCATGGCAGGTACTGTAGATTAAAATTCAAAGCAGCACGGGTGTGATGTGTGACGGCCCCGCAACACTTGGGCAGTGGGTGCCTGTGACACAGGCCACTTGGGCAGCAGGGCAGCAGGATTTTGGTCAAACGGCGCCGCAGGTGGCAAGAATTTGTGACATCGTAGGTTTGTCACATCCGGTGGGCTCGACTGTGACCAGTGACAACGCAGTGCTGCTGGTGTGGCGACAGGGCCTGTGATGCGTGACTGCCACTTTGAATTTTAATCTACAGTACTCCACCAAAAATTACCACAATGCACCATCTGTAATAATACCTGCTTCTTAGACCCTCCCACGATATATTCAATGCTGTTCAAATGGCACACATGTTCACTCCTGGGTCTATAGTGTTATTTTACCACTTTCCCTATACCATCAAAGAACCCAGCATGAGTAGCTGACATTTTATGATAACATGTCAAGGGAAATGTTGCTGCCAAGGATAGGAATCCAAAGTCACTTATTGTTGACTAGAGATCTAGAGAAGGACAATCAGATACTTGCCTAGAAGTTCACCATAGTATGGTCTCTTGCTTATTGCCTAGTAAGCAATGAAAGTCCAAGTGATCCCTCTTTGCTTCTAACGCTCACCACTGGCGAATTTTCCCACGGTCCGAACCTCTGACGGGAGGGGTATACGGACGTGAGGACAGCAACTGGAGCTTCCAGAAAGCTCTCTAGGCAATATTACTGGTACCTTATGCTACACAGACTCAATGTTGAACTCCGCAAAGGGAGGGACGACGTCTAAGACAGCGAAACCGGCGGCATCACCGACGACACAAAGCACCAGTGAGTGACCTAACATGAGAGCCACAGCCTCGGCGCCGCTGATGGACCTGAAGACGGAAAGAGAGAAGGTGGACTTGTACGATAAAGCGTACAAGGTCCTAGTGGGCCGAGCACTGATCCCGGAAGAGACCCTGCCCTCGGTGGGCGCCCTGGTAGAGGGCCTGCGCTTCTGCGCCGAGACGAGCAACCAGGCGCAGGTACGAGAGGCCATCTACGTGTTCGCATCTTATGCAGAGGCTATCCACGACAACCGCCAAGGTCCTGGACGACCTGCGTCCGATTCTCGTGCAGCTTACGGAGAAGAGCGAGGCTGAACCAGGGGAACTCAACGAGGAGAAAGCTAGCCGCCTGGAAGAGATGGTGGATAGGCAGGCGCAATCGACCACGGAGCTGAATGGGATGCTGGGGAGGCTCACGGAAGAGGTACGTAAGATTGCTGCGTCTCAAAAGAAGTTAGCAAAGGATTTGGAGACGGTGAATGGACTACGAGGCGACCTTCAAGGCGCCTTGAAAGAGACACAGGAGGTGCTGAAGGCACCTCCCCCGGTCGTGCACCACGAGCATGTTGCTCCTGTGAGCAACGGAGGTGCCTACATGGATGGTGCGGGGGGATGACCCTTGTACGCGGCGGCCATACAGCACCAGCGCCCCGCTGCGCATGCCTCGACGATGCAGCAACAGAGCACACGAGGACGCCAGATGCTAATCAACGTAAAGTCGAGAATGAGAGAGGACGGGACACCTCTCACTGAGCTGGAGTTGGTCACAAAGGCCAACCTCGCCCTCGAATTGATGGCCAGTGAGGGGGAATCATCGTCCCCGAGGGGGCGAAGTTTTTGACTGCGCAAAAGCTCAAGAATGGGGGAATCCTGTACGAGCTAACCTCCAAGGCGGTGGTCGACTGGCTGAGGATTGAGAAGCACTTGAATGCTTTCACAGGCAAGTTCGGCCTTGAAGCGACCGTTCGAGCACGCCACTATGCTGTAGTTTGGCAGAACGTGTCGACGTCCTTCGTACCGAGCGAGCAATCGTACAGACTGCTCGAGAAAGAGAATGGCTGGAACGAGCGGGAGCTAATGGTGGTCCATTGGATCAAACTGATTGACAAACGAAAGCTGAACCAACAGACCGCGTACGCTATCACGAAGTTCAGTAGTGCGAAGAGAGCCAACGACATCATCGTCAATGGCCTCATGTACTTCGGTCAAAGACTGAACACCTGGCGTCTGGTCAAGGAGGCGTGGCGCTGCATGAAATGCCAGCGTCTGGAGCCAGGCCATATGGCCTCCAACTGCATGGAGACCGCAAAGTGCAGAACCTGTGTGTCCCCGGAACACATGACCCAGAAGTGCAAGGTCCCTCCAGGGCGCAAGCGCTGGTGTGTGAACTGCGAGATGGCAGGGCATGCGTCCTGGGAACACCACTGCCCTTCGTTTATGGAAGCTAACCATAGGATGCTGCTCCCCCGTGACGCACTGATGACCTGCCCGCGCACCCGCCGGCTGACCCTGGCCGCATGCACCCTGCACGAGCGAGCCACCTCGTGACCTCGTGGGGTGATGAACCGCTCCCAGACATGGGCGACCAGGGGTGGAAACGAGCAGGCAAGGGCCCTGGCCCGAGCGTAACTACTAATTACTCTCGTCCACAGACCACCAGCTTCCGAACAGCGGATGGCAAGCGCCAGGCGACACTGACAGGCGAAGGCGGATTCACCGCGTGTTCTGGTCCACCGACACGCCCCAGCTCACGCACATCTACGAGATCTCAGCAGTACTACAACCACCTCAATGATGATGGAATGTTCTAGGGAACTCAAGGTCTGCCAAGCCAACGTGAACAAGTCGAACATTGCCCAGTGCGCCCTCCTTCACGATGTTGCCGAGTTCGATGTGGTGGCCCTGCAAGAGCCCTATATCGACCACCTTGACAACACCCACGCGGCTGCCAACTGGATCGTGATCTACCCAATTGGTCATAAAAATAATGAAGCTACGTCTCGCTCTGTCATGTTGATTAACAAACACGTATCTACTAATAGCTGGACAGCGATCCCAATCAAGTCCCCTGACATTACGGCAATCACACTCCGTCTCGACACCTCTACGATACATATTTTTTATCTACAACCCTCAGGACAGTAATCTAGCTCAGGCGGTCCTATCTCGGGAGACGCGGAAGCTCCTACGAGATGACGATGAGGACCCCGAGTGTCACATCCTTTGGCTCGGGGACTTCAACCGCCACCACCCCCTCTGGGACGACGAACGGAACACCCACCTGTTCACGAATCAGGCCCTAGACCAAGCAGACCGACTCATCGATATGCTGAGCGCCTTCAACATGCACATGCTCCTCCCGCAGGGTATTCCCACCCTCGAAGTGATGTGAACGAAGAACCACACGCACCCTGTTAACGTCTTTGCATCGGAGGGCCTGAAAGACTGCCTCCTAACCTGTGATGTTGCCCCGGATATACGCCCCCCCCACACCAACCATTTCCCCATCCGCACCACATTCCTGCTAGATGTCCCCCGGGCGCCACCCCGCAAGTTCCGGAACTTCAGGAAGGTTGACTGGAACGAGTTCAGGACTGAACTTGCCATACGACTCGAGGACGTACCTGAACCAAACGGACGGATCGACTCTAAGGAGAGTTTTGATCAATTGCTAGCAACACTTATGACTACGCTCACTGAGACAATTCAGGAGACGGTACCAGAGACGAAACCACCACCATTTGCCAAACGATGGTACTCGAAGGAGCTTGACAAGCTGAGGAGAGAGGTCGGACGTCAGGGACGTCGCGCGTTCAAACAGTGTGAGTTCCCGAACCACCCCATACACAAGGATTACAGGCAACTTTGGAACAGGTATGGCGACCAGGTGCGCGCAGCCAAGAAAGCGCACTGGGACGCATGGCTCGAAGAAGCAGATGCTAAGTCAATCTGGACGGTCGGCAAGTATATTCGTGCAGGGTCCACAGACGGGAGCAAGAGCCGGGTGCCGCCGCTGCATCGCCCGGGCAGTGCCCAACTCGAGCGCAAAAACGAGGAGAAGAGCCGGGTCCTATACGAGACATTCTTCCCGCAGCCCCCGCCTGACCTTGAACTCCCAGACCCAGATGCTGAGCACTACCCAACCCCTGCCTTCGACTTCGCACACGTCTCCGACCACCAGATCCACGTGGCCTGCCATCGACTCCAAGAGTTCAAGGCTCCGGGCCCAGACGGAATACCGAATGAGGTGTATAAACGGTGCGCAGATCTGTTAGTTCCTATACTCGGCCCTCTTTATCATGCTACATTCGACCTGTGTTACTACCCCGAGCAGTGGAAGCTGTCTACGACAGTAGTGCTGCGTAAACCCGGGAAGAGCGACTACTCCGTCGCTAAGGCATACCGGCCTATTGCTCTTATGAGCTGCATGGCGAAGATCCTGTCTTCATGTGTTGCTGAGACAGTGGAATACAAGCTGGAGAAGCTTAACCTGTTCCCTAACCTCCACTTCGGAGGCTGAGCTGGTCGTACGACGACTGACTCACTGCACCTACTGACCAAGACGATCCGGGACGCATGGCGGGCCAAGAAGGTCACCTCAGTCTTGTTCCTCGACGTCGAGGCTGTGTTCCCTAGTGCAATCCCGGAACAGCTCTTCCATGAGCTCCGGATGCTCGGGGTACCAGTAGAGGTGGTAGACTGGCTGCGCGAGAAGCTCAGAGGGCGCAAAACGTGCATGATGTTTGACGACTTTGTGTCGGACGTGTTTGAGATCCTCAGCGGGATCGACCAAGGGTGCCCACTCTCGGTCTTGTTGTACAAGATATACAACCTTGTCCTGCTGAAATGCGCTGACCAAAAGAGGGGTGAGCTGGCGCTCAGATTCATAGATGATGTGGCTACAGTGGCAGTGGGAAAAGATCTAGATGAGACCTGCTCGAAGTTATGGAGTTACATGGAGCACGCTGGCGGCGCGAAGGAGTGGTCGCGGACGCGGAACTGCCGTTTCGAGATCTCGAAACTGTGCCTGTTGCACGCTGATCCAAGTCTACCGAAAGACAATATCGGCCCGTCACTAGACCTCTTGGACGGGTCAGTGCAGCCCTCCGAAGACGTGAAGTTCCTGGGCATCTGAATAGATCGCAAGTTGCAATTCAAAAAGCAGGCCGAGTACGCTCTGAAGAAGGGTACCACATGGCTGCTGCAATTCGGTCACCCCGCGCGTCCAAAACATGGTATCCCAATGAGACACGTGAAGTCCCTATACCTCCAGATGCTCATCCCAGCCATGCTTTATGCGGCGAGTGTATGGATTGTCCCGCAGAGGCAGATGGAGGGCCGGAAACGGCGCTATGGGTCTGTCGGCATAATCCGCAAGCTCGAACGGGTTCACAGACAGGTGTGTTTGATGATATCTGGTGCGATGCAGTCAACGCCCACAGACCCCCTGACTGCGCACTTGAATTTGCTTCCATTTCATTTACTAGTGGACAAAATGATAATGCACGAGGCCTCTAGGTTATGCACCCTACCCACTTCTCACCCACTCCACCGCCACGTCACACAAGCCTCGCGATGGGTTAAAAGACATCGAAGCCCCCTCCACAAGATCCTCGGAGTGTATGATCTAGACACCCAGGAGATCAAGACTATTGAAGCAGTGTGCCTACCACCAAGCTGGCGACCTCCATTCCGGGTCTCGATAGCGTCGTCGAAGGAGGAAGCGGCAGCCGAGGAACAGGTATGGGCGAGGAAGAATGGATGGCGAGTCTACTCGGATGGGTCAGACATAGATGACGGAGTAGGAGCAGCAGCGGTCCTGGCAGTGCCAGATAGCGAGCCAAAAGTCATCTGATACCATCTCAGCCCGTCAACGAAACACACAGTATATGAAGGCGAAATTATCGGCCTCAACCTCAGGATCGCACTCCTTCACTGGGAGCTATTGTGCGCACGAGCGTCCACGGCAGCGGACAACCTAGCGAGCCTACATGCAGCGAAGAACCGTAAGCCACACCCGGCACACTACATGATCGACCAGCTCCTACATGCGATAGGACGACTCGAGAAGCGTCACCCGAACGTCGACCTAACCCTGAGATGGGTACCAGGCCACAAGGGAATAGATGGGAACGAGTTGGCGGACGTGGAAGCGAAGAAGGCGGCAAGAGGAGATAGTAGCCCGGTCGAGGATCTCCTGGGCTGGCTGAAGAACGTGCTCCCGGTGAGCTTATCCAGGGTCAGGCAGACGCAAAACGAGAGGCTGAGACGGATGGCGAAGGAGGAGTGGAAGGCGTCCCCAAGGGCAGAACGGATGGACAGAATTGACCCAGAGATGCTGTCGAAGAAGTATGGGAAGTTGGCAGAACGGTTACCTTGAAGGCAGGCGAGTATACTCATCCAGCTACGCACCAAACATGTCCCGTTGCAGAAATTTCTTTTCAGGATACAGAAGGAGGACACCCCCATATGCCTGTCTTGCAGGACCACTCGCGAGATGGTGTACCATTACCTGATGGAGTGTCCAGCCTTCAATGAACAACGCGACCAGCTCGCCCGTGACGCCGGCCCAGCCACTGTCACGCGTTGATACTGTTTTGCACACGTAAATGGCCAATGGAACACACTTTGAGATTAGACCATGAGAGCATCACGACAGCATGATAACGACGAAGACAAACAACAGGCAAACTAAACAAGATGGTCACGCTGCTCTACCATGTCAAAATGGGCCAGGAGATGGTCAAGGGCAGGATCGGGGAGAGTGAATTCGAACGAAATGAAGGTGGTATGTGAAATGAACATCGTATCCGTAAAGTACATATAGACTATCTTGTAGCAGCCAGGCCATTCAGGCCACTCTTCAACGTGACTAAAAGAAGACAGATATTAGTTGAAGAAAGAGGAAAACAAGAAAGGGTGTATAACGTACCTAGTGGCAGCAGCAAAGACGGGCAGAGAACCCGTAAGGCGGGGCCATTGTTCTTGGGCCTGCCGCTGAGGAAAAGGAAGGGTTAGAGAATGAAGGGAGAGAGTTTAGCAATAATGTACCAAGGTGCCCTCCCCATCAGTGATTCCACCCCACATGTCCCAGCCAGAAGACATATTGAACGGTAGGTCGTGGGAGAGTGGTATAGTTGTGGATAGAGAGTGGATAGAAGGTGGTTTGCAGTGACGTGGCGGTGCGTGCGCGTTAGGGAGACCAGTGGCTGAAGATCTAAAGTCAGATCAAAGTCAGCTGAGCGCCTAGATCCAGTCTGTGATATTCAGCAGCGCTTACTCATTCTATTGTGCTTCGTCAGCACAATAGAGGTGCTCAGTCAGCAATGCCAAGAGCATTAGTAATTATTGGAGATCAGGCCACAATGGATGGAATTATGGGATTGGTTGGCAAGTTGGATGATATTGATCACATGATAGGATTTGATTGGTTAATCTGAGAGCTTGCTTACTCATTGTCTTACTCAGCTGCTTATTAAGCAGTTCACAAACTGTATATAAAGCCCTGTGTTTTGCAGGCAAATGCATGCAATCTCAGTAGTACCCTCTCAGACATCTGGTGTGAGAGATCTGCAGTTTCCTTTTTAAGTCAATCAGTTACTATTTGAGGCAGTATCTCACACAGTGTGAGACCTCTGATAGTATCCTCTGTTATAACAATCGGTAGTTTGTCTAATAGCACATTACTAGGTGCTATCACTCTCACTGAGCAAGTCTTCATTTGGAAGTATTGTCTCAGTACATCTTGAACCACTTCAGAAAATATATAAAATACATAAAATATTCCCAACTCCCCTACACACTCCTAAACACCTATAGTGAACCTTTGGTTTTCCCACGAACAACTGTATAAGCTTGGTGTACACCAAAACACCCAGTGAACACAGAGGAAACAACTTTCCGATTGACATCAGTGGAGCCCACCGCGAGGGGTAACAAAGGTTCCACAATCCCCAAACAATATTCATTCCATATCTCAACACATTGATTCATACATCCTATATCAATTGCAATCATGGCTGAACAAGATAATAGTGATTCTGGTAAAAAGGATGCTGAGACTCAAATAGCAGATGAACTGAAGGCTCCTATAATTGGTCCAGATGTAATGCCAGCAGCATCTAGCAAGAATGCCCCTCATAAATTCAAGGGCAGTTATAAGGATGTTAGATCATTCTTATCAGACTATGAACATTTATGCAGGAAGCATGCTGTTATATCATCCAAAGATAAAATTGACAGTATATTTCGTTATTGCTCAGAGAGTGTCAATCGTTCTCTCAAGAGCATGGACAGTTACATCCAGTCTAGAAAAGAAAAAGCTGACTGGGAAGCCTTCAAGGAGGAATTTTGGGAATTATTTGATGCTGATAGAAGTGAGCGTCATTATAAGATTAGGCATCTTACTGCCTTCATAAAGAAATCAAAGCTCAAACAAATCAAATATCTCAGTAAATGGAAAGAATATAGGAGGAAATTCCTAAAAATGTCCAGGTATCTGAGGGAGGATGGGGCTATGATACAGTCAGAAGAGGACTTGCAATTTTGGAAAGGTTTGCACAGAAAAACTCGCACATACCTCCAACTCCATTTGCAGGCCAAATATCCAGATCATGATCTTAAAAGCCCATTCTCAGTTGCACAAGTTAATGAAATTGCACAGCAGAGATGGGGTAGACAGAACTTTGATCAGCAGATCTCTGACACAGAACAAGAATATTCAGACAGTGATTCAGATGATTCAGATGATAGTAGTGATGAAGACAGTGAAAGTGATAATGAAACCTCAAGCTCAGAGGATGAAGATCGAATTAGGAAGAAGAAACGAAAGTCAGCAAAGCATAAATCAACTGCTAGCAAGACTCACAAGAAGAAAACAAAGAAGAGAAAATCATCCCATTCTTCAGAAGATGATGAACAGAAGGAGAAATCCAATAAATCATCAAATAAGTCATCATCACATGTATCTCAAGATGATGATGTAGAGGATCTTGCAGAACAGCTGTCCAAGCTACAGATAGATGATCCCATATATATGATCACATATTTGAAGGCTTGCATGAAGACACCATCATTAGCTAATGTGCTGAAAAGACCTGCAGCATTACAGGCAAATAATCAGCCTATAGCTCCCAGAATTCCTAGACCATTTACAGCTGCAGTTGGCAATATTGCTAATGCTACCCCAGCTACTGGGACTAATATGGACAGAAGTTGTTTTGGATGTGGAGATAAGAACCACACCTTAGCAAACTGTCTCAAAATGCAGGAATTATTACAGCAAGGCATAGTCATAAAGAATAACATGGGTAGATTTGTTATGAAAGATGGCTCAAATATTCTCAGAAACATGAATGAACCATTCTATCCTGCAGTACAGCGCCAGATTGGCGCTACTACTAATACAGCTCAAGTTCATTATGCCACTACTAGCATAGACCCATTTACTCTATGTGTCCTAGAGGATACAGAGCAATTTGTGGCAAATGCTCATTGAGGTACTATATATGTGGTAATTGTGCTCACCCAAAGCTCTGGCAACACTTTGCACCATAAGTACCATACTCTTGTATGGGACCACAGTTCATTGTGCAAGACTCTTGCAAACTGCCGGATGCTGTGCAAGAAAACATTGATGATAAAAATTCTTATTTACAGGTTCTTGCTCTCCATTGAATATCCATAATCATGCCTGTGACATATCACTTTTTTGCTATGGGATGAGGAGAGGAATGCAGATGAGCACTCCTGTATACTGCATCTAGAAGGTTGCAGCTATACATGACACATGTGACTTCCTGCTTTTCCACAGCATGAGCTACATTTCATGAAAAGGCATCATGAGTGTAACAAACTCAGCATAGTTGGCCTAAACAGACTCTGACATTGGGAGGTCTAAGCCAATGTAGCATCACTTTGTAGGGAAGTATATGACCTACTCAGTTCAAATGATACAATTGATTCTGATCATGGTCAATATTGACTCAATTTAACAGTCCCTATACAAATTCCATACAAAGTTTCCCAATAGTAAAGGAGTATTATTGTTCAGTGTTTTGAGACAGTACATAATGTCCCAAACATGGTGAAACAGGGCAGCTCAGCTACAGTTGGGCAAGAACAAGTCTGCAACCACACATATCATTGGGTAATGACTATGCGGAGATATTGGCATAGCTATCTATGATCAATGAAAATTTCTGATCAAGAAACATGCACATTATGGATTCTCTAGGGTACTCAATATTCAAGATTCAATGCTCTTGTGTCTTGTGTCACTGCAATGAGGATGGTGAGCAAGTACCTCTGTGACTACTATAATACTGCCTGATGATTTCAACTTGGCCTGTGTGAGTGTATTGTTATTGTCACAGTTTGACAACTGCTTGGTAAAGCTTGAAAGTTAGCCTCACAGACTAGTATATATCAATGCATTTGATAAGTGAGATTAAGCAATGACTTCATGAGCTAGAAGACAGACAACTTGAATACAACTGGGAATGTATTGCCATGCATGGCCCACTCCCCAGCAAGTGTCTTTTTTCACTTGGACTTTTGTTTGTTTGTTTGTTTATTCCATTTAATGTCACTGAGGGCGAAGCCCTATGTAGACATTACATACACTACTCTCGGTATGTCTCGTCTGGTCCGTGGTCACTTAGCATCGCCGTTTGCCGGAGCGTAAGGCAGGTATAGTAGTATGTGCTGTAGTGTAGTGGGATGTGAATGCGTCGAATGGAATGAGTTCTGGGTGTGCGGGATCTCGGTTCTCTGTGCGTCGGCCGCTATTCATTGTCAACACGCGCCCTTGTCGCGGTCTCTCGCCTTCTCTTCTTTCATCACCAGGTCTCCGTAGGCGGCCGCAAAGCGGCCGGTACTGTGTATGTATTGGAAGAGGTGTCGCATCGTACCCGCTGAGCTGAGGAGGTCCTTGATCGAGCGAGCTGTGTCAATAGGAAAGTTGTTTCCTCTGTGTTCACTGGGTGTTTTGGTGTACACCAAGCTTATACAGTTGTTCGTGGGAAAACCAAAGGTTCACTATAGGTGTTTAGGAGTGTGTAGGGGAGTTGGGAATATTTTATGTATTTTATATATTTTCTGAAGTGGTTCAAGATGTACTGAGACAATACTTCCAAATGAAGACTTGCTCAGTGAGAGTGATAGCACCTAGTAATGTGCTATTAGACAAACTACCGATTGTTATAACAGAGGATACTATCAGAGGTCTCACACTGTGTGAGATACTGCCTCAAATAGTAACTGATTGACTTAAAAAGGAAACTGCAGATCTCTCACACCAGATGTCTGAGAGGGTACTACTGAGATTGCATGCATTTGCCTGCAAAACACAGGGCTTTATATACAGTTTGTGAACTGCTTAATAAGCAGCTGAGTAAGACAATGAGTAAGCAAGCTCTCAGATTAACCAATCAAATCCTATCATGTGATCAATATCATCCAACTTGCCAACCAATCCCATAATTCCATCCATTGTGGCCTGATCTCCAATAATTACTAATGCTCTTGGCATTGCTGACTGAGCACCTCTATTGTGCTGACGAAGCACAATAGAATGAGTAAGCGCTGCTGAATATCACAGACTGGATCTAGGCGCTCAGCTGACTTTGATCTGACTTTAGATCTTCAGCCACTGGTCTCCCTAACGCGCACGCACCGCCACGTCACTGCAAACCACCTTCTATCCACTCTCTATCCACAACTATACCACTCTCCCACGACCTACCGTTCAATATGTCTTCTGGCTGGGACATGTGGGGTGGAATCACTGATGGGGAGGGCACCTTGGTACATTATTGCTAAACTCTCTCCCTTCATTCTCTAACCCTTCCTTTTCCTCAGCGGCAGGCCCAAGAACAATGGCCCCGCCTTACGGGTTCTCTGCCCGTCTTTGCTGCTGCCACTAGGTACGTTATACACCCTTTCTTGTTTTCCTCTTTCTTCAACTAATATCTGTCTTCTTTTAGTCACGTTGAAGAGTGGCCTGAATGGCCTGGCTGCTACAAGATAGTCTATATGTACTTTACGGATACGATGTTCATTTCACATACCACCTTCATTTCGTTCGAATTCACTCTCCCCGATCCTGCCCTTGACCATCTCCTGGCCCATTTTGACATGGTAGAGCAGCGTGACCATCTTGTTTAGTTTGCCTGTTGTTTGTCTTCGTCGTTATCATGCTGTCGTGATGCTCTCATGGTCTAATCTCAAAGTGTGTTCCATTGGCCATTTACGCGTGCAAAACAGTATCAACGTGTGACATCTACCCAATGCAAAAGATTGCAACTGCCCCCAGTTGCTCTCAATAGCCCTTTTCTACACCGGCGATGTGTTTGCCTGGTTGGCGTCTATAAAGCACTTTTTGATCAGAAGAATAGATCCATATTTTAATTTGAAGCATACTTGTCTGATTGCGTTCCACAAAACGCACATCATAACTGATGAAACTAGCCATGCTGGGGCGGCTTGGGCGGACAATGGGGCGAAGATGCACGCCTTCCATCTGAGGAAGAGGGCCATGGCAGAAGAGGATGATGAGCATGATGATAATAATAGTGCCAACTAGGACACTGCAGACGATGGCGGCAACAACGATAGTGCTGATCATTTTGGTGGGGAAAAGAAGATGCATGCAGTGAGTGATGGATTCTATTTGTGACGCTGAACTGTGTGGATCTGTTTGTGTCTGTGGGCGTCCATATCCATGTTTTAGGCTAATTGCCTTTTAAAGCAATGCCTTTTCCCACAACTGTCTGTGCATAGCGCTACATCAATTCCTCAAACATCACTGTCATTTCCGCTGTCTGTATCATTTTCTTGGGTGTCAGTGCTTGCATTCCCATCAATATCAAGTGCAAGATCAGCTAAATGTGGATCATGACGACTGATATAGGGCATAATGCGAAATGCTGCAATTTTCTGTTTCCAGACAGCACCATCCAATTCTTTTAATATGTATGCACCTCCCATGGTATGCCTGTGCACTTCATATGGCCCTAAATATCGAGGCAGATGCTTGCGGCTGTGATGTTTTTCTATCCTTGAGTTCCTTACCAATACTAACTCTCCTGGTTTATATGACTCTCTTCTCAATCTCCTACTATATCGCTGTTCAAAAACAGCTTTTGATCGCAATCTAGTCTTCTTTAGAACTGATGCAGCACGAGCTACATCTTCAGGCTTCTTTTGTAACTGCCTGGTACGTAATGCCAATAATTCTGTAGTGGATAGTCCTCTCCTGTAATTTTCAAGCATGAATGTGGCTTCCAACAGGTCAAATGGCAGTATGGGATGTACACCATACAACAGGTAATATGGAGAATATCCTGTAGATGGAGTGATTGTAATGCAATCTGCAAAGAACACATGATGAACATAATCTGGCCACCTTGTCCAATCTCCTTCACAGGATTTGATCAAGGCTTCCCTTATAATGAAGTGACCTCTCTCTACTACTCCATTAGCTTTTGAATTGTAACTGGATATGTTGATGTGAGGTAATCCATATTTGTCCATGAGTTCTGTGAAGGCTTCTTTGAACTCTGATCCATTGTCTGTTACTACTTCTCCTACAGCACCATATCTGCATAATATTTCTTCAAAGAAGAACTTTGCAACTGCTTTGGCTGTTTTATTTCGCAGTGCACGTCCTTCAGAAGCTCTTGTGAAATCATCTCGAGCTGCAATTATATGGCTGAATCCTTTGGCCAATGGCATTTCCATAATGTCCAAATATATCTTGTGAAAGATAGTGAGAGGTGCTGATATTTTTAAAGGGACCTCTACTTTGGTAGTGCTTCTTAACTGGCATTGATTGCATGATGCAACATGATGCCTAACATCTCTCCACATTCCTGGCCAATAAAATCTTTCTTTTAACATCTTCATTACTGCATATTCTCCTCTGTGTCCTAAACCTTCATGAGCATGCATAAGGATCTTTGCTCTAGCCTCGGATCCAAATATGACAATAGTGGGAACTTTATTCCCATTTCTCCTATATAACTTTCCTCCTCTGAGTAGATACCTTGTAGCTTTTCTAATAAATCTTTTCTTTGCTTGTATTGATGGCAGTATGGGTGTTTCCAAATTCTGTAGGTACTGCCTGAATTGTAATAGTTCTCTATGTGTATATATTTGGTAGTGATCTGTGTGTTTGCTACTATACCAACTGTTGCTACTAATGCTGTTATGTCTTCATGCCTTTCAGTCATTTGCATGTCTTCTAACTGACAAAACAATGGTATATCATCCAACCATGTATCATCTTCTTCTGGTATTTGTTCATCCTCAGCCATTTCCCTCCTAGACAAAGCATCTGGGGCTCTGTGTCTGTCTGCTGGTACATGGACCAGTTTGAAGTCAAACAGCAATATTCCCTGTATCCATCTATTCATACTTGCATTGGGCTGCAAGTCAGGTTCACGTAACATGCCTTTAATATATTTTGCATCCACTTCAATCTGCAACTCTTGTACTCCAATCAAATATAATTTGTATGCTTGTGAAGCTCTGTATAATCCATAGAGTTCTAGCTTTGGCTGAGAATATCGAGCTTCTCTTTCATTCAGTGGTATAGAGCCATATCTAGCTGGATGTTTTCTTCCTTGTTCATCATACTGGGATAATACAAATCCTACTGCAATCCAGCTTGTGTCAACTGATAACACAACTGGTCTCTTTGAAGGGTAGTCAATTGGCATTAATGCAGGAGCTGAAGTCACTGCTAATTTAAGACGATCAAATGCTTCCTGCTGTTCTGTATCCCAATTAAATTCTACAGAGTGGTGCAGAAGATGAGTGAGTGGTCTTGCAATGAGGGAATAATCCTTGATCCATATGCGGACTGTTCCACACAACCCCAAGAACCCACGAACATCATGGACAGACTTTAGTGTTGGCCATTTTAATATTTTCTCTATTTTGTTTGGCTCTGGAAGTCTACCATTTGGAGTGCATTTCTGTCCAACGATGATTGATTACTTCAGGACAGCACAATTGGACTTTGTTTGGGGAAAATGTAGCTCCTGCATGTCCTATTCTGTGCATAATACGATGGACATCTAGAGCATGCTCCCATATAAATCTCCTAATGCCTGGGTTCTCTGCTAACACTTCAGGATCTCCATTTTCATCAGGATAATCTGTTTTAGGTCCTTTAATAGGTAGATCATCAATGAATATATCAGCAACTTGGGGAATTTCCTGCTGCAGAATAAATGGCATGCACTTCTGGAATTCTGCTGGTGAGTTGGTAAATCCCATAGGCAGTGATGTAATGCGCAATAGTCCCAATGGTGTCTGGAATGATGTCATGTCACGACTGCGAGGATGAACTTTTCTAGCATCAAATCCCCAAAATAGGTCCCATACAGTATAACACTTGTGGCCAACAAAGGGCTCTACAAATGCATCCAAATTTGGAGGCAGTCCTGCATCTCTTATTGATACTTTATTCAGAGGCTGTAGGTCATGTACAAGCCTCAATTTTCCATTCTTCTTCAATACACAAAACCATCTTGACCTATATGATGATTGGCTTGGTTCATATACACCAGCCTGTATTTTCTCTTTGAGTAATTCAATGACCTTGTCTCTGATACCAGGAGGTATAGGTATATTTTTGAACTCCCATGGTTCATGAGGAACAACTGGGATAATATATGGAGTGAAATAATCCTCTCTGAATGTACCTCTGTGACTTTCTTGAAAGGCCAATGTTTTCTCATTTATTCTGAGAATATGCTGAAACAACTTTTCTTCTTCTGGCCACATGAAACCTCCTCCATTGATATTCATATCATCCAACCTTTTCTGTGTGAGCCTTTCTCCTGGTTCAAATACTGGTGGATGCATAGTGAGAGCTGGTAATGAATTTAATGGATCCTCTGGAAACCTTCTCTCTACCCTAGCATCCTCTGGAAACACTCCAGGAACTGGCTTTACTCTCCTATCAACTCTCTTGTATGCTCCCATAACTGAAGCATTATTCATAACCAACACTACCTCATCATCTTCTTCATATACTCCAGCTACTGAGAATACTTTTATAGCTTCATCATTATCATCTAGCATCTGCTGTCTTCGACTTGGTATAGTCTCGTAGTCATCCAGATTTTTATTCGCATTTTTCGGGCATTTTCTGGAGTCCATAGACTCATTACTAAGCCCTCCAAGCTTTATTCCGAGTACAAGTCCACTATTATCTTTTGAATTGCACTCGCAGTCATCACAAATGCGCTCGAAGTCTTCACCAGATTTCGCCGAAAATTCCCCATGAAATGCGTAGTATTTCGTGGGTGGTACAGTGGACACAAAAGCCCGAGACCCGCGGGCTACTCGGCGCGAAGCAGCGAGTTTAATACAAGTACAGTCAACCAATTTAACATGATCACAAATAAATGAAGGTGGGGTCAGTGAGCCAGAAGTAAGAACAGATTTAATCATACAATGGTGGATAAAACGGGACCTGACACAAAGAAACAGTAAGCAAGACATCGAAGAACACACTAAGATTGAATGGGTGGCTGAGGATCACATAAGTGCCGGTGTACTCGCACCACGCGAAGTCAATACGAAACAGATGGGCAAAAAGGAATCAAACATAGATATAACATATGAAAAGACATCGCAAGGATTTGTATCAAACACAAAACACAGACGGTGAAGATCCAATACATACAAGTCGCCAACGGGGTATGATCGCTTAAGTGCCGACGGACCTGCGTCGAGCGATGTTACAGAATAATTAGCACAGACAACACGAGCTTCAAGAGACAAATTAGAAATGATGAGGTGGATATAGATGCTGAAGACGTACAATGTTCTGCCCTGTCTAGATGACGTAGGGCACGTCAATGAGCTGCCCAACGTAGCCAAGACTGCCTTGCTCACACAAGTCATGAACTGTCGGGAGGTTGGGGCGGACGTTAAGAACAGTGTCGATGGCTTCGAGGAATGCGTCCGTGTCGTCGTAGAAGCCACGCGTCGGGTCGTGAGTTGGGAAGCGGCGAAAATAAGCTTCACATTCGGCAAGGTAGAGGCGTTCGAGTGGCCACAGGAATGGACAGCCGAGATGGGGATGAAAGAGCGAAGCGAAATCCGCATGAGTCTGAACTTCGTGCTGGATGCGTCCGGGTCTCCAAGCTTCGGTACACTTCAAGTCAAGCATGCCGTCAAACGCGGCATGCGTCATGGCGATCTCGGTAATCTCGAGGGCAGCCCGGCGGACACCGATGATGTCGTGGAAAGAGTCGAACACAGTGCCACAGGTGAGTGCTGTGATTATTTCCCAGGTAAGCATGATGAGGCGCGTCTCGATCTCTTCGAGCTCTGGGTCCGGGAGCGAGGACGGCGAGGCGGGAGGTGTGGTTGGAGAGTCAGAAGATGAGGATCCCGATATTAAGCCCAGAAGGCTGTCGGGGGTCGAGCTACGAGTTGGAATAGCGAGAACATCGTCTAGGTAGTTCGTGTAAACGTAGGGATATCGAAGAGATAATGTGGTAGACATACCTGGCGAGTTCGGAGGTGCATGTACTGCGCTTTCCGAGGTGTCCGAGCTGCGAAGCTCATCTGGCAGGTCAAACCGGACGGTCTTGCTCGTATAAGTGCGGGCGCGAAGCTCGGCAGCGAGGTCGATATACGAGTCGTCCAAGTCGTCGTCAAGCTCGGGGAAGACAGTGCGTCGAGGTTGGATGACGTCGTCACGGCGCGGGAGTGGCAGGTATGAAATCGAGCTGGTGGGCATGTTGTGCTCAGAGGGAGTCGAAGGCGGGCTCGGCCACATGCTGCGAGCATCCCAGCGACTCGGATCTTCGTCGTCAGAGCCTAGAATGTCGGTGATCTGGCGGTCAAGGTGCAGCTTCGCGGCGTCCGGGGTCAGCGAGCCAGAGACGGAAAATGCGGGCACACAAGACGGGCGCGGCGGGAGCTCGTCTGCAGAGGTGACAGGGTCCTCGGTAGGCTTCACACATTCTTGAAATGCATGTGTCGGCCCTGCGTCGCACGGCGCACATGGAGATGGTGGGTCTCGTGCCTCGACTGCACGCAGCTGCGTGAGATCCTCTTCTGTAAGTTGTATCAGAGGCTGTTTTGAATGAAAGAATCGGTAAATGAACATACCAACGCGTGCGTACATGCGGTCGACAGCCGGTCTCAAGTTCTTGACGAGCTCATTGATATATTCGATGTTGGACTCGGTAAGCGAAGATGGCTGTTCCGGGCCAGATGAGCAGGGCGGCGAAGACGGCGGCGAGTCGTCCGGGACGAGCAGACACTCGTAGAGTCGGTGCATGAAGGCTGAATGGTCGAGAGGGACAGTGCCGGCATATTGAATGAGCAAAGCGTTCGTTTTGTCGACGTCAGCGAACTCCTGGTTTGCACGGTGGAACACAACCGTAGCATCGTGAAGGTAGATCCCCTCCTTGCGTCGTCTGGTAAGGCGGGTACTCGATTACACCATCGGACGAGGCCAGGATGTTGCCGAGAGCATCTTTTGCAGTGAAATGCGAGACCTGCAAAGCTCCAAGACTCAGGAGGTAGTTGGTGTTTGACGGGTACAGCGCAGGGAGGACATATTGCATTGTGTTCGGGTTGTTGTGTCGCCCAGCGACGACGGGGTGCGGGTGCAAGTGGTAGCCGGCGAGGTCGGGGCGAGAAGAGTCGACTGGCAAAAAAGCGGACATGTCTGCAACGGAAAAGAAAGGGTGTGAACAAGACAACAGCTCGTCCGAGTGTACAGGACTCACCTTTGCACTCTTATAGCATGCCCGGAGCATGACACATGGCGCGTTTATGATACAAGATTGTAAGTTCTCGCGGATGTCAGTTGGGGTGCTTACCACGCGCAGAAAATACTGCCGCGAGTTCGCATGCAGCGGCGATCTTCGTAGCGCGTGTCGTACATGTCTAGAACACTCATACGAAGCTCCTACATCATTTTGGGGGTCAGTTGCTGCATCAGAACGTGTTAGAGCGTACCTTTTTCGGTTTGGGATCATCCCCAGGCACAGAATACCCGGTGAATTTGTCAGGTCTGAAATGGTCGCATAAGGACTAGATTTTCGAGGCGTCAGGCTCGTCTCACCTCGTCTGAGCTCACCTGATAGTCTGCTGGTCGGACACCGCGTTTCTAGCTTCATTTCGAGGGTATTTGTAGGTGAGTAGTTTGAGCTATACTGCAAATTGACTGGCTCACCTTTGTAGCGGCTCGGATCTGCGGATTTCATGACAGAACACGTTAGGAGACTCGCCAGACTCACCTCGTACGCACCCGGCCCTCTTTTGTTGTTTTGCAAGGCTATACTTCTTTTATCTTGGGTGGTTTTCGAGGATCGCTCCGTGGGCGCTAATTCACTCGGAGTCAGTGGGAGTGCGAGCGATGTACTGCATCGACTTTCTCCCAGATCTGTGGGCTGCGGAAACGCGATCAGTGCATTAGCACGAGTGAAAACACGCTTACCAAATATTTCTGGCTTTTCTCGTACATGGGATGAGCTGGCAAGAGGTAAGCGAGTTGCGGCGAGGATGGTTCGGGTGCTTACCGTACCCGAAGGCTCGGGGATAGGCTCGGCCTTGTCGATTATGGCAACTTCGTTAATGGAGCGCTTTTGCATGCATTTCTCATTGAGTTCAGTGGCTAATAATGTGTTTTGTGACTCAAAATGTAGCTGTACCTCCTCTTGTACTATAGTCATTCCAATAAATGCTTCTTCACCTTCATTAGTAAGCTTCTGTGGGAATGCATTGGCTAGATAAGTGCCAACATTGCCATCTGGCTCAAAGTCAAAACCAAATGACTCTATGGCTTGCCATACTGCAGGACTATATTCTCCTGTAGGATCTTGATCAGCTGGGTCTACTAGGACCTCATACTGAACTTGCCCAGTTTCTTTATGCCTGAATACAATATAGGTTCCATCAATTCTTTCTTCAATTGATACTAGATTTCCTCTTTGCCATGGTCTACCCAATAGGAAATCAAATGGAGCATCCTGTGTTACCCATGCATTTACTGTTGTAGGAGCCATATCTCCTTCACAGTGCAATATTACTTTTTGCATGAGTCCACTTAATGTCTTGTGTCCTCCATTAGCATCAAATATAGTAATTTTCTTTGTCATGTCAACAGGTCTTCTGAGTACTCCAGATTTAATAAGTCTAGAGTTGACTAGATTGAGCTGTGAACCTGTATCAATGATAGCTGTGAATGGATGACCATCACACATCATAGGCAATTTAATAAGTGCTCCTCTAGTCTTGGTATTATATGAATATGCAACCAAATTTGGCTGCTGTTTGGGCTTCAGTACCTCTTGTAATTGATGAGACATTTCCTTGGATATTCCTAATACCTCTCCTACTGCTAGAGTAATAGGTGTACTCAGCACTTTGCTCAACACTCCTGATGTATCAACATGAACTTGAATATCTGATTTTCTGGGAACTCTTTTGACTTCTGGTTTATTAACAGATGGAGCTGGTTTATTAGCATCCTTCTGTACTGTAGGCTTGTTGGATTTGGGCTGTGGGCCTTCTGGATGAGTAGTATCATCATCCATAAATGCATCATCATCTATAATAACTGGACCAGGCCCATGCACATCAATTGGCTGTTGTTTTCTCCAGTTTTGAGGTTTGATCTGTACCTTCTTTATTACTAGAAGACTTCACAGATTGTTTGACAGCTGTTGGAATTTCACTATCAGCAGCTTTTGTAGAACTACTGGATTTATTGGCTGATTGTTCTTTGGTCTTGTAATTAGCTGGTGGAATACTGACATGATCCATTACTTCTCTCCTAGCTGTACGAGTAGTCTTGGCTGATCTTTCTGCTGCCATAACAATAGCTTCTTCCTCATATGCTTCATCATCACTTTCAGAGTGCTCAGAAATATGATTTTCTGGGGTATTTGGGGCTTCTCTGAGCCTACACAAGGAGGTTATGTGGCCTCAGAATGAATATCCTGCACATGTTCATGCTTAGTTCCATGCATAAGGAACTATGAAGGCTAGGTAAATTATGGGAGGGTCTGTGCCAGTGAAGCAGGAGCTATCACACAACTTGAATCAGGATTACTACATATGGCAGGTCCCCTCCCAATTGGCAATTTCACACTGGGAAGTGCTTTGTGTGCCTAGTAAATACTGTAAAAATGATGGAATATTCAGAGTGCATGATTGCATCAGTTCAAGCAACTGGCATATTTGCATCTTTCCATAGCTATAGGCATTTGTGATTTTCTCAATCATTGTGTTTGTCTGCTCTGTGCTTGTATTGAAAACAATTAGAACAGTATACATTCCTACACTCATTGATTCAGTGTGCTATATAAGGCAGATGCTACGAAAAATAGTAGAACCACTATGTTGTGATTGTAAATATATATCAGACCTATTAGGAGCACACACATGGCTGTGTCTGCATGAACGTAGAGCCACTAGCTTGCATTTATCTACAGCAGAATCAAGACCACAAGTTCTTACAGTTGTACAAATGTGTGACAGAGTCAGTGTAATAAGCATTCTAAGTATACATAGTGACTTCCAGATTAGGAAATACCTGCTTATGACATAGGCTGCTACGTACACTTTGCCCTCTGTCACTCTGTGACCAGCGTTCCTAGGGGTGTTCCACAGGGGCATTCCCAGAACACATTCCAGGAATGTATCTCCCAGTCAATTGGATGTTCTCCAGCACTTGCAGTGGTAAAACACTGCTGCGGGTGCTGCGACCCCACGTCATGGATCATGTGACTGGCTAGACACAGTGGCCATTGTGCCTTTTTTAGTGCAACAGAGGTATGTATACCTGTGATCTGTAACTAATGTTATCCAGGAAAATACACATTCCAGGCAAGTTGTGGGAGGGCTTTTGCACAAGAAGTATCACAAAAGCCCACATTGCTTTAAATGGTGAGTAACCTGTAATTCTCACTGAAGTGAATGTCTGGTGTTCCATAAATAGCAGATAAATCAGAAGATATTCATAGAGTACTATGGCATGTTGCTGAGGCCTGTGATGTTTACATTATGTTACCATATATGGAAGGTAAGCAATAATACCATGTGCAAGCATGAAATAGCAGTCCTTGCCCATTCTGAGCTCTGTTGTGGCACCATAAGGCATTTTCATGATGTCTGACACACATGGCTATACTGTATGGGTCATGTGCTACATATCTAGGGTGAAAATGAGCAGTTTGAATTCTGCAAAGTCTCTTGTGCTTTTTTGTATTTTGCATTTTCTGGCCTAACTAGCCACTACTGGGGCCCAACAATATTACTGTAGACTCTATGAAACAAGGGCTACAAGTTGACTATATAATTGCCATACCCATTTGTGGGTGCTTACTGTTGCAAAAAGTGATTGAATATATTGGAGCCCAGTGCCAGCGGTCAGGTCACATGCCATGTTCACCACTTTCCATATTGGGCTCCAAGCTAGACGTTACAGGAGCCCCCAGTCCATAGGGAATTGTCAGCCACAGCACTTGTTTGGGTGTGTTGGTGCAAGTTGCGTCGTCTGGGAGTCTGAAATTTGAAACACAGCTAATGATGGCATAGTAAGTGTTACTTATCTTTGGTTATCTGGCGCTCAAACAGTCACATGCACTGTGGGAAAGACCTTCTGCATTGGGCTCCATGCTAAGCATTACATTCTCAGCAGTCATAAGAATGATTCCTTCGTACCTCAGGGATCATATTCTAGACAACTGCAAGCCTAGCTCACAGTGTTCTCATCATATTTTCTGGAGCTGGGAGTGCCTCCCTGGGTTGGTCAATGTTGACTGACTCAGGCTATCAAGAATCAGTGCCACAGACTCGCGGAATGAGCCTAGCAACCAGCAGAACAAGCACAGCAAATACGGAACAAGGTCCGAGATACCGCAGAATGAGTTCAGTGACTAAGGAATGAGCATAGTGTTTACAGAAGGACGAGAACAAGGACATACAGAGCCCAGACAAAGTGACTCAGAGGAGACAGCAGAATCAGCCAGGAGCACACACGAGAGGAGGCTTCAAGTTGGAGAACTGAAGACAAGGACAGCGAGCAATAGGCATATTACGAGGTCTGTCATTGGCACTCATCCCCTCCATCGTCGTACATCTTCCCCTTTCCACCCATGTCACTTCCATCCCTGAAGCAACAGATTGTCCTGCCCCTCGAACATCGTGCCCAGGAGCAAGATGCACTCAAGCTACACAACTGGAGCCCACTGCGAGGGGTGGTACCCTATTCCTGCTTCCTCCGCTCAGCCTACAGCTTTGTGTTGTCATGCGTGCACAACAGGTGAGTCACCTTCCATCCCATCCACCACTTTGCAGTGGCACATGCAGAATCAATATCAACATGCACCGCAGACGTAGTTGTGAGGTCTGGAGCAATATTACTTTGGAGGTCTACCACGGAGACAGCAACTACTAGTTGAGACAACTGTACAGTGCCGTATGCACTGGACAGGCTCTTCACAACCTTCCCTTACATTCAGGCTAAGCGCACTGTAGGCTGTCCTTTCTTAAGGTTGCTTGTGTTGTCTAATGATGTTATGCATGTACCAGGTCACCAAATTTCTGCTTGAAGGGTGGGAGGAGCTCCTGTAACACCTGGGTGACTATCACCCTGTCTTGCAAGCAATCTTGTACATCTTCAAAGGTTTACCATTCTTATGACAGCTCAACTTATCCTCAATCAACCTTTGAGTACAATACAGATGATTCAGAGCTGGTGATGACCAGGACAAGCCCCCTTCACCAGGATGCAATTCACAGTGTTGACGCTGCGGGTTGCAAAGGAAGTACAGCCTTGTATGAAATTGAGCTCCCTGCAGTTAGTCCTAGATGGTGGACATACATTAGGCATCCTCTGCAGTGACGGACACATGCAATTCAAGATCCCAGATCTTGTGACATCAATCCATATCAATCCACCATGCAATGTGTACATGTCTGATGGAGAGGTTCACAATACAAATGTTGACATCATAGAGTTTGAGGCGTGTGTTTGTGAGACTATGGAAGATGTGTTTGAGAAGGTGGGAAATTGTTCATTGGGGCCTGATAGCTCATGTTCACATGTCACAGGTCAAGAACAATTGCACTGAGGGATTGGAAGACAGTCGAAAAGTGTACCAAAAAGTCATTTGGATCATTATCAACATCAATGAGAGTGCCTGCACCACTTTGGTGGTACCAAACTTCAAGAACATGGACCAGAGTCTGCTGGACTACAAGTTTATCCCCTCACCAGATGATGAAAGTCACATCCTCTTCAGTGGTGTCTTGCACGGGCTTGAAATCTTGCTCAGAAAGGTCTCTGCTGAGCTGTATCTTTTCCACAGGGATGATGACCTCAACAAGCTTCATGAGGGGGTCTGTAATCATTGGGGCCCAGAAGAGTATATTGGGAAGGGGCACGGTGTGGTGAGTCCCAAGGCCCCTGTTTGTATCTCATCGCTAACATATGTTAATTAGTGTCTGCTGCCCAAGTACAATGGGCAGGATGAGCTGGCTGCTTTTTTGCCTAGATGTGATGCACACTGCTCGCAAGGTCACCATTTCCACAGGGGCTTACACTGCTGGCATGTTCCATGGCATGGGCTTTGAAGAATGGCAGAAGTTGTCTGAGTGCCCCACCCTCAATGTTCTCCATCAGGTGGAAGATCCCCTTCATGAAATAATTGAAGCTCAAGGTGCACAGCTCACTGCCGAGGCTCACCATTGCCAGTGGTATCTCAGGGGCAGCCAGATGTTCCAAAGACCTCTGAGCTCAGTGATGCCCGTCACGGAGTCGTACGAGCTGAACTGATACGGGCATTGCTGATCCTGTGCCCACAGCTGTACAAAGATCTTGTACCCGCCAGTTAAGGAAGAATGGTGTGTAGCCTGTGCTTTCCGAATGGGCCAAGTTAAGTGCAAATTCGATCACAGGCAGCCGTGAGACCCAATTCTTTTGATTGTAGTGTTCACACACCTGAAGAGGCAGGTGGTGATGATACAAGGGGGAGAAGCGTGCAATGGTCCACACAGGTTATAAGACTGGATTGGTCTCCGAAGGTACACTAAGGTGAGCTGTACAACGTAGGGTCTTATATACATAACAGATAGTCAATTTTCACGTCATGAGGTGAGGTTTGTAAGAATAACGAAAGGATGGTGTGCTCATGCAGGGAGTATAGGATGCAACACATTAGGAAGGTGGACAAAAAAGGAAAGTGTGGCGTGATGTGGACGAGAACAATGCATTTAACTGGGGGAAGGAGGACACTCAGAGTAGTGCATAGTGTGGGTGTACCCATGGGTGTCTGAGGGCATACCCATACCCATACCCACATGGGTTGCATACCCATGGCATGGGTATGGGTTTTGCATGGGTATCATGGGTACCCTTGGGTATGGGTACCATCATGGGTAGATCTATGTGCAGTTCATTGTACTCATAATTTTGCATGATGGGTAACATAATTGGCAAGATATGGGGTGTGTTGATCAGTATCATACTGGCCAAGTGAGCTCAGACCAGACTCACAACTGGCTTGCCAATTGGATGAATAACCCCACAGAGCTGACACTGGGCCATGGAGATGGATGTGACTAGGGGCTGTTCTCTTTGAACAGTGTCCCAGACAGCCTGCAGTCCAATGATGGGGCAGCAAAGCAGGACAGTTTTATGGTGCATATCTACTGCTACCACTTTGAGAACAACCCCACTGACTGCATGGTCAATCACAACATAGAAGGTGGAGTTTCCAGTTTTGCAAGCCAGGACATACATCAATTAGATGGGAGGCATATACATGAGGGCAGTAGGCTGTTATGCAAGCAACTTATATACATGCAAGAACAATGGAGAGGAGAGGTCAATTAAATGGGTCAAAGCAAGGTAACATGACAAAATCATCCAAAATGTGACAAAGGATCAAAGAACCTGATAAACAGTGACTGTACCTTTATTTCCAGTACATATCTTAGGTGGGGAGACCACAATATTTGGGGGATCGCAAGGCTGTATACACAAATGCACATCACAACACAGAGGGATAGTGATGCCATGAGCAGAGCCTTTTGAAATCCACCATATCCCAATGGGTCACCCCAATGTAGCAGGATTACTGTGGGTCAACATTGAGCAGAAACTCAGGGTAGACAACAATTTAACTGAAACACAGGCAAGATGTGGCATTGTGCAATGAATATGAATAGTCTGCTACATAGACTAGCCTCAGAGAAGAGGAGCATATTAGGTTGATTTACTAATCATCATCACTGAATACTGCCTTATGTCACAGGTTTCTCACCAACATATGATAAATAGGGCCAGGGGATGAACATGACCAGCCCATGATGTGGACATTTTCATTGAGAGCTTAATGCATTGCTAGTTAGTAAGTGACACAACTGGGACCATGATCTCTTATAAACAGCATGATCATAGCCCTACTACATTGCTGAAATCCTGGATTTAGTAAATTAACTAACAATGCATCTATGCAAAATGTAAAACTGAAACTGCAGGTCTAGTGTTCATCTCAAAAGGCCCTTGACACAGTATCCATATTGATTCTTCTTATGCTATCAGGAGTGGTCATGTCACAGATGCCTAGCAAAAGATTAAAGTAAACAGTATCACTGGCTGTCCAACATGGACAATTACATGGTAAGATTCAGTCTGGTCATATTTTGTATTTCAGCTCATAGATACATGGCACTGGAGTAGCTATCATTGTGAGTTAGAAAGATGAGGTCAGCATGATGGCACCCTCACTGTAATGCACTTGTTGTCATCATTTTGACAACTTCAGCAGTCTGTGTATCTTTCATTGGAGCATAACTTAATGATAAATGTCAAACTTTGTCTTCTGGTTGCTGAAAGGGAACTTTACCATACTGTCATTGCAAAGAACTCTGGTGCAAGCTTCAGGATTACCATATAGGCTGTTAAACTGTGGGAGATACACAGTACAGACTACATGACTAGCAGTTACCATTCTCTACTGCTGGATTAGCACTGCAGTAGTCCATGGGTCACATGGGTTCATGGGTCAGATTTTGGCTACCCATACCCATACCCATGCATACCCATACCCATGACCCACATGGGTTATCCATACCCATGCAATGCACTAACTCAGAGGCGTAAGCAAGCAAAACCTGCTGAACCTTCTATTCATGACAATGCAAAGAGATGTCACCTGGACGCCTTCTGGAATTCATGTGGTCCGCCTCCCTCCTCGTCGCGCTATGAGACATTGGAGATGAAGATGAGTCAGTCGAGAAGTTGGATGAAGCCAATGAAGAATACGTAGAGGGTGCACACCCTTTGTCCCATTTGACAGGCAAGCAGACTGCAATGGCAAAGGGTAAGAGGCCGCAGAGGGTTAAGCGGAAGGGGAAGCCTTGAGTTGTGTTTTCTGCTCATTTTTGTCTTCCCTCCATGCCGTTGTGTTTGCTCATCACTGGGACAATTTCTGTTGTGTTGATCTGTTGTGTTGTTGCTGTTGGCACCATCATCAATGTGTTTCTTGTGTATACCACTGGGATCAAGTACAGTGCATCTGTCCACACAGACTAGCAAATGTCAAGTTAACCTAAGTCATCTTTGCACTCACTTGTGACAGACACCCTTGTGCACCGATGGCTCTGCTTCCGCAAAGTAACCTGCTATGGCTCAGAACATTGTTTTCTTGACAATGCAGCATGCATTCTCCTTGTTTGCTAATGGATGATTTAGGTGGTTTCATCACCTGAACATGCCGCAAAGCGGCATTAGACTGAGGAGGTTGTGGTAGAAGCCAAGGGACAAGTAGTGCATTGCATGGGTATGGATAACCCATGTGGGTCATGGGTATGGGTATGCATGGGTATGGGTATGGGTAGCCAAAATCTGACCCATGAACCCATGTGACCCATGGACTACTGCAGTGCTAATCCAGCAGTAGAGAATGGTAACTGCTAGTCATGTAGTCTGTACTGTGTATCTCCCACAGTTTAACAGCCTATATGGTAATCCTGAAGCTTGCACCAGAGTTCTTTGCAATGACAGTATGGTAAAGTTCCCTTTCAGCAACCAGAAGACAAAGTTTGACATTTATCATTAAGTTATGCTCCAATGAAAGATACACAGACTGCTGAAGTTGTCAAAATGATGACAACAAGTGCATTACAGTGAGGGTGCCATCATGCTGACCTCATCTTTCTAACTCACAATGATAGCTACTCCAGTGCCATGTATCTATGAGCTGAAATACAAAATATGACCAGACTGAATCTTACCATGTAATTGTCCATGTTGGACAGCCAGTGATACTGTTTACTTTAATCTTTTGCTAGGCATCTGTGACATGACCACTCCTGATAGCATAAGAAGAATCAATATGGATACTGTGTCAAGGGCCTTTTGAGATGAACACTAGACCTGCAGTTTCAGTTTTACATTTTGCATAGATGCATTGTTAGTTAATTTACTAAATCCAGGATTTCAGCAATGTAGTAGGGCTATGATCATGCTGTTTATAAGAGATCATGGTCCCAGTTGTGTCACTTACTAACTAGCAATGCATTAAGCTCTCAATGAAAATGTCCACATCATGGGCTGGTCATGTTCATCCCCTGGCCCTATTTATCATATGTTGGTGAGAAACCTGTGACATAAGGCAGTATTCAGTGATGATGATTAGTAAATCAACCTAATATGCTCCTCTTCTCTGAGGCTAGTCTATGTAGCAGACTATTCATATTCATTGCACAATGCCACATCTTGCCTGTGTTTCAGTTAAATTGTTGTCTACCCTGAGTTTCTGCTCAATGTTGACCCACAGTAATCCTGCTACATTGGGGTGACCCATTGGGATATGGTGGATTTCAAAAGGCTCTGCTCATGGCATCACTATCCCTCTGTGTTGTGATGTGCATTTGTGTATACAGCCTTGCGATCCCCCAAATATTGTGGTCTCCCCACCTAAGATATGTACTGGAAATAAAGGTACAGTCACTGTTTATCAGGTTCTTTGATCCTTTGTCACATTTTGGATGATTTTGTCATGTTACCTTGCTTTGACCCATTTAATTGACCTCTCCTCTCCATTGTTCTTGCATGTATATAAGTTGCTTGCATAACAGCCTACTGCCCTCATGTATATGCCTCCCATCTAATTGATGTATGTCCTGGCTTGCAAAACTGGAAACTCCACCTTCTATGTTGTGATTGACCATGCAGTCAGTGGGGTTGTTCTCAAAGTGGTAGCAGTAGATATGCACCATAAAACTGTCCTGCTTTGCTGCCCCATCATTGGACTGCAGGCTGTCTGGGACACTGTTCAAAGAGAACAGCCCCTAGTCACATCCATCTCCATGGCCCAGTGTCAGCTCTGTGGGGTTATTCATCCAATTGGCAAGCCAGTTGTGAGTCTGGTCTGAGCTCACTTGGCCAGTATGATACTGATCAACACACCCCATATCTTGCCAATTATGTTACCCATCATGCAAAATTATGAGTACAATGAACTGCACATAGATCTACCCATGATGGTACCCATACCCAAGGGTACCCATGATACCCATGCAAAACCCATACCCATGCCATGGGTATGCAACCCATGTGGGTATGGGTATGGGTATGCCCTCAGACACCCATGGGTACACCCACACTATGCACTAGGGACAAGAGCACAGTGGGGATCCACAGCATGACCCTTTCAGCTTATATGCCTCATCAGGTCCCTTTGATGTTGTTTAGTCATGTTTACCTATAATAACATAACCTGCACAATGCCGCTGCATCACTTACCAGGATCAGACAGCCTGCATTCCAGAATTCTATGTCATGCCAATTAACAAGAGACCTGCCATGCAGAGTCATGTGCAAGGGCAACAGGTATTCACTGATTAGTGATTACATTCTACCCAATGATTTTGGAAGAGAAGCCAATTGCAAGATAGAGCTAGCAGTATAAAGTGAGTAGAATCATACCGACTTCCTTGTTGAATCTGCATTTTATGAGCCCATACTCAGCAAGTGAAATCAGACTTTCCATTTCAGAAGGTCAGCTACCACAGACAGCAGGTGTCAGATGCACTTGGTAAGTGTTGCAAGGAATACAAACAATCCAAAAAGAACCAATGTGTATAGAAGCATATTGCATTTTTCTGCTTTGTGAATGGTACCATAATTTTATGAATCTATGAAAAGCCACATGTACAAACTCTATGACATCATATATTTTACTGGAAATATTTCCAAATTTGCTCACATTTATGGGAGGCCACAGCACAGCAAAGGCAGTGTTGTTGATGAGCTTGTGGCTGGGATTTAAAGTCAGCCCCAAAACTTGGCAGCCTGCCTGATCAGGGCAGGAAAGGGCCTGCTGCAACAAATGGAACAGCCCAGAGTCCTGTTTGGAGTTGCCAGCCCCTGAGAATGCCAGGTGATACCAGTGCTTGCAACTTGAAGATGGACCAAGGACATGCATTTCAGGATACTCACTGAAAGAGTTGCTAATATCAGGCTGTACATGGGAAACTCTGCCTCACTACAAGTGTTCTTCCATATGACAGCCTCAATAGTCAATACAATATGAATACATTGTGCTATCTCATTTTTATTTTTATTTTCCTGCTATTTATTAAGTACTGCAGAGGCCATTCATGACCAGCTTCCAAAATGGGCAGGGGACTAACCATATATGGCAATTTTATGTGTCTGCTTCATAGACCCCATCATACCTGTGGAGCTCTCCAGTAAGTATGCACACAAAGATCTACTCACATGCCTCAGTATCACTTGCCAAGGTTAGCACTGTGAGACAGAAGAGGACTACCTAATCTGGACACCCCTGCCAGTGACTAAGGAGCATGCCATGGAGAGGCAATATTTTCAGCTTTTCCGCATTTAATGGGGCTCTAGTAAGAGCTCAGGTAGTGTGGCTTAAAGCCATCAAAAAACTCGGCATGAAGAGCTGAGATTGAAAGATTACTTTAAAGGGGAATCATTGTCAGCATTCTAGCCAATGGGAGTGCTCCAAAATCCCTTTTGAGTGACCGGAGTCGTCGACAGGCCAGAATTCCGGCCAGTCAATGACTCCGCTTCGGCAATGGGCGCTTAAATGGGCGCTAAGTAAGTGATGTAAGTGCACCCTGTTACTGCAGCAGATCTGAGTTGTTTTGGGCCCAGAAAAGTGCAGTAAAATCGGATAATATTCCAGGAGATCTGTGGAGCATCTCTGAGCATTCACAGGTAGAGAGGATTGTCCTGTATAGTTATTCAGTGCTGGTACATCAACACATACTTGCCATGGCAATATTTCTCCATTTGTAGTACTGCTGTGCATGTTTCAGAGACATCAATGTGTTGGAAACTATACACTTGGCCATAGAGGACATCAGTCATGTGTTTCAGATGCAACAGAACACATTCATATTCACAGAGTCACTTCTGTTTTTTATATTAGCATTTTGCTACTCATTCAACCGCTTCTCTCAAGAAACTATGATAGACACTATGAATGAAGGGCTATGAGGTGAGGTAATGATATCTACAACACTTGGTTGGAGCTCAGTCAGTGTATCCCAGTCAAATGCTATCATGTCTACAGAGGTAGGGGTGTTTTTCTGCATTTTGAATTTTATACATGGGCAAGCCATACTGGTCATAGCCTCTGGGGGTGCTATACTGGATCAATTTCTTACATACAGCAGGTACTACAAGTGAGTCCAGTTGCACAGAATTTTCCCTGGTTTTATCTGCATTTTCTGAGCCCAGACTGAGCAGCTGCATGGAAATTACCATTTGGGGAAGGTTAGTGACCCTTTATGGCAGGCTTCAGATGTCATAAAGACATGACATACAGAATCTATGGGCGGTCTACAGGCTTCAAAATAGTCACTTTGAGGGTGAAAAGGGATGCAACCATGTGCACAGAGGCATTTGTGTGTGTTTTGATTGTGTGAATTGTGCCATAACCACTGAAGGTAATGGGCAAGTCACAGCAGCTATAGACTCTATGCCATCATATCTATCACAGAGATTATTTTGGGAATTTTCCGCATTTTAGTGGGGCCACAGTACAGCAGGTACAGTGCCACTAAGGAGCCTGTGGCTGAGATTCAAACTCAGCTCAAAACCTCGGCAGCCTGCCTGATTAGGGCAGAAAGGGCTTGTTGCACCAATCAGAGCAGCCTGGCGTTGTCCGCACGGATGCACCTCCGAACAGCATCTGGGCGCTTAGTAAGTGATGTAAGTGAGCACTGTTACTGTGCTTATATGGGCTTGTTTAGACCCACAAAAAAGCGGAAAAATCAGGAAATTTTGAAATGGCCCAGGCAGTGTGATTGAAGCTGTCTATGCCCTGAGTTTGACATCAGATAGGATAGCATTCTCAATAACCTGGTAAGATTGTTGCTGTTACCTCAGTGAGCTGATTTATATAGGCCTTCTACTTCACACTAGGAACTACTCATGTAGTGCACATCCCCATAAGATGATAGTGTAATTACAGATGCATATATGTATACCTAGTCTGTGTCTATGTGCAAGAGAAAGCCAGTGGATAATTGCCATATGGAGTATGTGACCTTCCCAAAGAAGAATCCAACACGAACAGGGGCATATAGGGCTCAGGAAAATGCAGGAAATCCATGAAATATATAGACACATCAAAGACAAGTGTAGGATTGCTGTGAGCTGCAATGGTCACCATTAAATTGTATACAAGGGCCAGATTATGGCAAAAGATGCTCAGATTACCCATTATAGTCCTTATTACCTGTATTACAGAAGCTACTGAGTAGTCCACAATGTCTAAATCACACATATACATTACAGTGTACACATAGACCATATTTGAGTCATAAACAGGCACTTTGAGTCTGCAGAGGCACATGTGCATTTTTTATATTTTGCATGTCCTGGGTGAGCCAGTGATTGTATATACTCAGTAGAATTTCTGTATACTCTCTGAATGAAGGGCTATCAGATGAGCATACTATGTGTACTATGATTTGTTACTAGCTGAGACTATATTGGCCCTACAGTGTGAGCACTTAAGTGCAGCATTGAGCCACCAAGCTGCCAGTCACATGATATGTTCACCAGTTTCCTTATTGAGGGAACAGCTAAGGCATTTCATGGCCCTCATATCCATAACAGAGTGCTTAACCACTGCATTTGTTTGTATCTGTTGGTGCAAGTTGTGTTGTCTGGGAGTCTGAAATTTCATACTTGTTGGCTGCAGTGCACCTCAGAGTGATTCCAAAGGCCTAAATGGAGCTCTGTAAAGTCTTAGGGACTTAGAGCTTGACAAGGCGGACTGTCTACGGTGTGCGTTACGTAAGGCAACCATAACTGTACAGTAGAAACAGCCACAAAGTCGAAATCAACGAAGCAGTGAAAAATTGGATGAGTGCAGGGGTTCAAATCCCTGAAGATGCAAACATTATGGAAAATGGTAGACTGAAGGGAATGACATCGGAAAAAGTACAGTATGCACGGGTATAGTGATGGTGTCCATGTAGAATAAAGGAGAACACACCAGGACACATTCCACGACTTGGACAGGGCAATGGAGCTCAGAATAATTCGCAGAAATGCGGAATAAATTCCGAGCTCAACATGAACAGTTGAACTAAACATAATGGCCTAGGATCCTGTTTGGGGTTGCCAGTCCCTGAGAGTTGAGGGTGATACTGGTGCTTACAAGATGGACCAAGACTCACTGAACAAGTGGTTTGTATCATGGGAAGCTCTGCACTATCATAGCTTTTCTGCCATATGTAGCCTCAATAGGGAATCCAATATGAATCCATGGTACTCCCTGATTTTTCTCGGATTTTGCTGCTATTTGTCCAGGCCATCCATGACTAACTTCCCAAAGGGGCAGGGGACTAACCATAATGGCAGTTTTGGATGTCTGGTATGCCTTACTTCACGGAGCCTCTCATACTTGCAGAACTCTCTAGCAAGTATGCACACAAAGATCTGCCCATATGCCTGAGTATCACTTCTCATGGCCAGTATGATACCTATTCTGGGCACTCCCATCAGTATACGAGGAGCATGCCATGGAGAAGCAATACATGGGTATTTATTTGAATATTTCTCTGCATTTAATGGGGCTCTAGTTCCCTGAGCTGAACCCAAACAATGCTTGAGTTGGGGTTCAAGGTCAAAGAGCACCCAGACAGCTCAGCCTTCCAGGCCAGTGCCTTGGTTGGATTCCAAACTTTCCCAACAGACTGGCCGAACACCCCCTCCTTGCTTTGGCCAAATGGGTCACAGCTCACATTGTCCTCCCTGTTCATGGGAGCTCCTCTCAGTGGGAGGTTTCCGTTACAGTCATTGTAAGTCTCCCTACTAGTAGCCCTCTGCCTCGGACTGTTTCTCAATTACCTTATCAGCAGGTGCCTGGTGAGCCCATCCCAGAGCATGGTGAGCCTGTCCCTGCTCCCACTCCCGCCCATCGCTAGCAGGTCCTGGAACGTGGCAAGCAGGTCCCAGAACATGGCGAGCCTGTCCCCACTTATGGTGAGTCCTGGAGTGTCGCCAGCCTGTCCTGGAGGCATCACCAGCCCGTGCCCACTCATCTTGAGCAGGTCCCCGAATGTGGCCAGTCTGTGCCCGTCCATTGCCAGCCTGTTGGGGAGTGTGGTCAGCCTGTCCCCCAGGGTCCTGAGCAAATCCCAGCTCCTGGCCAGCAGGTGCCTTAGCACACATGCATCCTCACGTCACTCATGAAGCCATTGTGGCTGTGAATGAGTATGTTTCCAAGACCACAACTGAGCCCACCAATGCGGGGTGGATGATTCTCAAATTGTTGGAGAACATGGTCAAGTGGTGGTGCACCCTTGACAAGGCTAACTTGCCTTCGGCGGAGGCCATGAAAAGAGGTGGCTTGTACATGCAGGTCTCTGCCCATATGGGCACGGGGCAGCCAAAGCTCACAGCAAAGGACATGGCAACTTGGTGTATCTTTCATTTTCTCATCACCTACAACAATCACATACAGGTGGAGCTTATCTCATACATCTTCATGCTGATTTGGTTCTACAGGGACGCTCCCGGGCACAGCTTCATGCCCAGTATTTGGAGGACTTTGTGATGGTGAACCTGAAGGCTGGCCCCAAAGGGGTGTTGGTTTGTGACACTGAGTCTTTGTGTGCTGCCCTGAAGTTTAGCACAGGTGCAGTTCCTGCTGAGGGGGAACGGATAGTCCGGCACAACAACCTCAGCCTTCATGACAGCCACAAAGGCAGCTGTCAACTGCAACTGGTGCTGGTGGAAGAACCACACTAAAGACCAATGCTTCAGCAACCGTTGCACTGGAAGTCCCAACCAAGACCTAAGAAGGGGTCTCCAGCGGATCCCGCTGCCCCTCAGGCTCAGGTTGCAATGTTGGATGCCAAACCCAATGTGAGTGTCACCTCCACACCATCAACTGCAGGTTGTTACGATTACAACATATTCCTGGCCAGTGCTGATTCTGATCTGTCAAGTGAGAAGAACAGGTCGAGTATTAAAGCCTACCTCAATTTGGGAGCTAGTTACCATTATTTTGTCAACAGAGCTGCTATGATGACTACCGCCCAATGATCCCACAAGATGGCAACAGCACAAAACACGGTATGACTTTCTGCATTGTCAGAGTCAGATCAGTCCACGTACAAGTTGTAATCAATGGTCGCATGTCTGTCATCACCCTTTGGAATGTCCTTCATGCCCCCAACCTTGCTGCCAACCTCATCTTGCTTTTGCAGACCAACAGGAGCAGATGCGGTATCCAGGTACAAGATGGTCAGATGGATGTGATTAGCAAAGGAGGACAACCCATCCTTCGAGGGCAGATGACAAGCAGCAGCTTGTATGAGGTCAAGATGAAGACTTTAACTCACAATGGGATACCAGAACTCATGCCCCCTAGTGCGCAAATTGTGATGGATCCCAGGGTGCTCACTACTTCTTTGACAAAAGGCATCACATTCTGGTGTGTTCTCCTTTATTCTACATGGACGCCATCACTATACCGTGCCTACTGTATTTTTTTCCGATGTAATTCCCTTCAGTCTACCATTTTCCATAATGTGTGCAACCATAATGTGTGCAACTTCAGGGATTTGAACCCCTGCACTCATCTGATTTTTCACTGCTTCGTTGATTTCGACTGGCTGTTTCTGCTGTACAGTTATGATCGCCTTACATAACGCACACCATAGACAGTCCGCCTCATCGAGCTCTAAGTCCCTAAGACTTTACAGAGCTCAACTTAGGTGTGTATCTTTGTTTCCTGAATAAAAAGACTTTACAGAGCTCGACTTAGGCCTTTGGAATCCGCTCTGAGGCGCACTGCAGCCAACAGTAATACCAGGTCCTGTTGTCATGCAATGGTCCTTGGGATGTGGAGATATAGTAGGCAGCTCTTGGCTTGTTCATATGGGCAAGGACTAATTGTACCATGTATTGATGAAGCTGTCTGTTTGTTCAATGTATACTGTTATTTCTCTACTGATTGGGCTCAGAAAAAGCCATTGTTGCTCTGGCAATCATGCAGACTTACAAAGGAACAATCAAGAGGCCCTTCTGACATTCAACTTGAAGGCAAACATGAGACTATGTTTGTCTATGCCTCCAGTCACCAATCAGTAACTTTGGAGCAATTCCATTGGCTACAAAGTTTCTCTGTCCCAGTCAGTGTCAGCTACTCATGCTAGTTTCTTGGATGGTATGTGGAAAGCAGCAAAATAACACTATGGACCCAGGGGTGAATGTGTGCAATCTCAGCCACCTTAGCACTCAACAAGCTCTCCTCACTCTGTGTGGGCCTCAATGGTCTAAAGTCTTGTACATAGCTATGTTAAACCACCTCAAGAGTACAATATAAATATCAGTAAAATATACAGTCCTTCAGCGGAGCTCAGTACTCAATCTTCTCATTGAGGGTAGGATCAGCCACACTGACATTTAGCTCACTACATTGCAGGGACCCATCTTTATGGCCTGTAATCTATGGAAATATATTCTCATATATGTGTGTTATTGTTCCTAGGCCATGATGAATCAGAATCCAAGCAATGTACCCTGTCATGGACAAGGGTCCAAGCCACTGCTTACCCAAAATGGGCATGATCACACAGGATGATTTTTCCTGCACTCAGATCTCCATGTATTGGCCTCAAATCATGTACAGATAATATACAGATGTACATAAACATTATACAATTTGATTGTTGACTGTAGAAGGAGTGGTGGATGAATGAAGATTTTGCAGCACTCCCATTGGCTGGGATGCTGACAAATATTCCCTTTTAAAGTAATGTTTCAATCTCAGCTCTTCATGCCGAGTTTTTTGCAGCACTAACTGAGCTCTTTAAGAACTAGAGCCTCATTAAATGCGGTAAAATCCCAAAATATTCCTTCTCCATGGGATGCTCCTTGGATGCTCATAGGTGTGTCCAGATTAGGTATCTTTGAGAATACTGGCCATGACAAGTGATATTGAGGCATATGAGCAGATCTTGCTGTGCATACTTACTGGAGAGCTCCACAGGTATCAGGGGAGTCTTTGAAGCAGACATAGAAAACTGCCATATATGGTGAGTCTCCTGCCCATTCAGGAAGTTGGCTATGGGTGGCCTCTGCAGTACTGGATTAATAGCAGGAAAATCAGAGAAAGATCAGAGAGTACTATACATTCATATTGTGCTCACTCTTGAGGCTCACGTGTCGCAAAAAACCTATGATAGTGCAGAGTTTCCTATGCATAGCCTGATACAAGCCACTTATTTAGTGAGTCTTGGCTCATCTTTTAACAACCAGTATCACCTGGGATTCTCAAGGACTGGCAACTCCAAACAGGATCCTATGCTGTTATGTTTAGTTGCACAATTCAGTAGGACCTGATCAGGCAGGCTGACAAGATTTCAGGCTCACTTTGAATCACAGTAACAAACTCATCAATGACACTGTATTTGCTGTGCTGTGGCCTCCCAAATTGTAAAAACAGTTTGGAATATTCCCAGTCACATATTCTGTACATGCTATGCCTTCCCATAGATTCATATAAAATGGCACCACTGAGAAAGCAAAATAAAATACACATGCCTCTGTACACTCATTCTCTCACATTGTTTGTGTTTCCTGTGATGTTTACCAACTGTCCATGAATTATAGGGGATTTTTGACCAATAGTCAGGGTGAGGATGGGTGAGGATGGGGTTTTTCACCTTCTGTACGATATGATGATTCATTCATTACCCTCAAAGCATGAATCTAAGCATGAACTCATCTGTGTTTGTGCCACAGTGTGATCACAGATTGCAAGGTACTACCTGTGTTTGGATCATGGCACAAACATGGGTAACATGCAGTCTGCATCTCACTCTGCCTTCGGCCAGTTGCTGTTACCCACAATCACACCATGGTGCAATTGTGGGTAAAAGTACACGTGAGCATGGCATCACTTCTTGCATGTGGTGTGTGGCTTCTGCCAGGTGCATGCGTGCCCTGTGGGACTCATCTGCCCACACCGCTGCTGTCTTGGCTGCCTGCTCCCAACTCTTGCTTGCTTCTGTGAATCTCACTTGCATCAACCATGGTCAGCACCTATGACTTGCTGGGGAGTGGGCCATGCCTGGCAATACGATCCCATTTGTGGTGGGTCTTTGTCTCCGTAAAGGCTCATTGATACAGTGCTTGAACATCATTTAATACATTTATGTATACTAGTCTGATGGACCAACTTCAATTCTTTATCAGACCATGCAATTATTAAGAATGTGAGCCATGTGCAGGACAACTTGGAAAGATTGGGATGAGCCAAAGTAGTATTAGAGATATACAAAGTTATGGAGCTCAGTTCATCATCCTCATTGTGGCAATACCAGAGGACTGAATCATGAATACTAAGTATACAATATGCATATTTCTTTGACAAAAAACATCTTTGACCCTGTAGAGATATGTCAATATTGCCATATGGCCAATAGCCAACAATATGTTAGGTGACACAGTTGCACACTAGTTCTTTCCCATTTGTAGCTTTGCTGCCTTGTTTCACTATGTCTGACAGTTTTACTGGTTTGAATAAATGAATACTAAAGTATACCACTTGCACAGTGGAAGACTTTCATGTCAGGGAATCTGTGTAGGTAGTGCTTATTCAACTAGATAATGACAGTAATCAGCATCAATTGCCTTCATTCAACTTTCTCAACTTACTAGTAGGTCAACACTTCCCTATGTCAGAGTTTGTAAGTCAACCTGGAATTTATGCTGAGGCTGGTGCACTCATATGAGCTCTGCATCAACCTTGGCTCATATTTTGGAGAAATCAAAGTGTGACCTGTGCAGGATTTTACTGTTTTGCTGGGATCAATTGCAAGTATGACTTCTATGCAACTAATATCTAGGGTGTTTGATAGCCATTATATGCATGGACTTATGACTGGATTTAAACACAACAATTGTTAAACCTAAAATGTTTGGATAGTGGAATAAGTAGTCTAGACTCACTATGTGTTCTATGTGTTGTTACCTGGATCAAAATATCCCACTGGATACATTGGCAAGTATGATGCCACAAATACATTACTCACTTATTGAGAGCCAGCCTGAATCTTTGGTATATGATCATTGTGTGAATATAACTTTTGGGTAGATTTCCTGAAGGAAGGGCTGCATAATAAGTGTACTATGTGAAAGCATGGCAGAGCAAATAAACCTCAATGGGTAGTGAGGCAATCTATTGCCCATGGGGTGTGTGTGATAGTAGGTATCAGCAATACTAGAGCCATGAAAATAATTCACAAGGCTTAGCAACCTTCCTGGGATGCTCATCCATGGACCTGATTCTCCTCCTCTCTTAGTCTGTGATTCCTTCATAGCATGTTACTGGCAACACAAATATATGTTTCTATACATAAATCAGTTCAGTGGGCATAGATGTTTGTAGCTCAGGATTTATATTGAGTAGACATTGCCAAAAAATGAGGGCATGTATAGATTTTCCAGGTTATGTTACAGCTATAACTGCCAACTGATGACCTCAGGGATCTGGCACAGGCATGGTCATGACTATCCAATGAAGAGCAAGAACCTGGAAATGAGAATTTTGTGAACAACATCACAGTTTTTTTTTCCCTTTCATAAGCAGCATGTGGTCTGCATGATTCTTGTAACCAGCCTAGACTTGATCTAATGTGTGGCACAACACTGCCAGAGCACTATGACCACCCATATGTAACTCATTGGTGCTCCATGAATTTTCTGCGGAGTTTGGGAATTCTTCTGAACATGTCTTTGACCACTTTCTCAGTGTCACATGGCCCCATGTCATAGAGTATGTGGTTTGTAAACAACAGTCACATCAATGCTTTTGGAGGTAATAATGTACATGTTCAAGCTCTATTTTGTACTTCATGCCCAACCTAGGGAGCTATGAAGGCTATGGAATGTATGAGAGGGCCAATGAAAGAAGAGCTATCACATAATCAAGATTACTACCTATGGTAGGTACCATTCCCAATTGGGAATTTAACACTGGGCAAGGCTTTATGGGCCCAGTAAATGCTATACAAATGGTGTAATATTTAGAGTGCATCATTGCACCAGTTCAAGTACACTGATTTATGTAATGCAAGTCAGCAACCAGCATACATGCATTGTATATGTACTGGGTCCAACTCTGGATATACTACTGTGAAGCACTAAGGCTGCTGATGCTCCTTCTCATGAAGGCCAATTCTAGTATTGTACCATTGGCTACATCAGAGATTTGCTGGGGAAGATAGTAGGACCACCGTGTTGTAATTTGTATACATATCAGACATATTGGGAGCACACCCATGGCTGTGTCTGTGATATTATTAAATGTGCATACTCTAACCCACCAAGCCATGTATGTCCTGGATACCTCAATGTCACATTGGCTGAATGCTCAGATAGCTTTGCTCTCATCATAAGCAAATCACTCCCAGATACCATGGAGTGACTACAGGTAACAACCCAATGTGGCACTGTATTTTGAAAGCCAACTGGCAGCCTTGTGGCCTTCAATTGAGATGATGTTGGTCTCAAATGACTTCAAACTACTCTAGGATAGCTGTACTGAGGTTGTCGCAATTTACTGGGGATTTATGGGATTTTTATGGCCCCAAAACAGTGGGTTTTGTACTGAGAATGAATATTCTGCGCATTTTTGACCGCATTTCTGCAGTCACATGACCAATGATATGGGGTCGCAGCAGTTGCAGCGGTGTATTATCGCTGCGAGTGCTGCGACCACACGTCATTGATCATGTGACTGGCTAGACCCAGTGGCCATTGTGCCTTTTCTGGTACAACAGAGACATGTGTACAAAGGTAGTGATGTGTAGCTAATGTGAACCATGGAAATGTACATTTCAGGCAAGTTGTGGTAGGGCTTATTGCACAAGAAGTATCACAAAGCCCACATTGCCCTAAATGGTGAGAAACCTTCCAAATCCAGTAATTCTCAATAAAGTGGATGTCCAATGCTTCCTAAATTGCAGATAAATCAGAAGATATTCATGGAGCACTATGGCATGTTGATGAGGTCTGTGATGTTGACGACATAGTACCATATATGGAAGGTGAGCAATAATACCATGTACCAGCATGAAATGAGCAGTCCTTGCCCATTCTGAGCTCTGGAGTGGCACCATAAAGCATTTTCATGATGTCTGACACATGGCTATACTGTATGGGTTGTGTGCTACATATCTAGGGTGAAAATGAGCAGTTTAAATTCTGCAGTCTCTTGCATTTTTTTGTATTTTGTATTTTCTGGCCTAACTAGCCACTATTGGGGCACAACAATATTACTGTAGACTCTATGAAACAAGGGCTACAAGTTGACTATATACTTGCCATATCTATTTGTGAGTGCTTACTGTTCCAAAAAGTGATTGATTATATTGGAGCGCAGTGCTGCTGGTTAGGTCACATGCCATGTTCACCACTTTCCATATTGGGCTCCAAGCTAGATGTTACAGGAGCCCCATGTCCATGGGGAATTGTCAGCCACAGCATTTGTTTGGGTGTGTTGGTGCAAGTTGCGTTGTCTGGGAGTCTGAAAATTGCAACTCAGCTAATGACAGCATAGTAAGTGTTACTTATCTCTGCCTATCTTCCACTCAAACAGTCACGTGCACTGTGGGAAAAACCTGCCACATTGGGCTCCATGCTAAGTGTTACATTTCTTCCAGTCATAAGAATGATTCCTTCGTACCTCAGGGACCGTAATTCAGTTCAAAATATGCAGCATTCAGCTTCGCTGTACGTACGCTTGGCACACGACCGGGTCAATTATGTCCTCATCCGCACCCTCCTTAGCTTCATCTTCCTCGTCACTGTTTGCTCCCAATGTCCGAAGTGCAAGCACATGCACCCTGATCTCCTCCTTAATGTTCTCGTCTTCTGTTTTGTACTTATCCTCTGTGGTGTCCTTGATAATCAAGAGCCTCTCAGCCTTTGTAATGGTGCGCCCATGCAACTGTTTCTGCACAAGTGGTTTAACCTGCTCATCATAATACTTACGGGAATACACCTCGATCTCCTTCAGATGACAATGTGATTTCATCTTGAAAAGGTTCACGGGCACCCGCATAGACTTGGCTTTTCAATTTTGCTGACTATTAAGGTTATTGAACCAGTTATAGATTTGCTTTCGTACGTAGGTCAGTGGACCGTCGATGATTGTCAAATAGGTGTACGTACCTTCTGACGGGTCTGAATTGCCGATTGCAGCTGCTGATTCTGTTCCTTTGACAGCTCACCCTCAATGTTTGGAAGAACCCTGGGCTTCTCCGGGAATGTGGTGAACCATTTGCAGTACACTGTGGGCTAGAACCGTTGCAGTTTTTGCGATAGCTGATGTGATCGGAACACGTCCACCTTCGAAAGCAAGAAGGCAGCTTCCTCAGCGGTCAACCAGCGTGGTGGAGCCATGAAGTCCAGATGTGTGTGCCGACGTGTCGCAGCTCAGTCTAGAGCTGCAGCCCCTCATACATCAGTGAGTTTGCGTAATATAAGGTAGCACCAATGAGCCTCTGCCAGTATGAAGTGATGATTTTCGCCAGTTTGTCACACATTGCACGAAGAAATGACAATGCCATGCGCAATCTATCCACCTCTGGAATCCGGAGCAACTGCATCAAATTGGTGCGGGTGTGGGTGCAGTTACTCGTAGTGCAGAGCACGGGTACACCCGCAGGTGTCCTGAGGTGTACCCGCACCCGTACCCGCCCTGGGTACGGACCCGTGACAGCGGGTACAGGTTTTGCACGGGTGCAGGCGGGTCCACGGGTAAGTGGACGGGTCCGCACTCCATCGCAGCCACCCATCATTGTTTCATGCCCACCTTCCAATCATCAGACGTGCTTGTCCACTCACTCACCCGCTCGCTCACCGCCCGCTTTCCCGCCGTCTGCTTCAAGTTGCTCGTGAGTCGTCCACACGTTTGCCAGCCATATGGTAGAGGATGGCGCAGCAACGTAGGAGGGCTGTGGCAGGGCGAGAAGGCCGTGGTGTGGTGTGGAGGGCCCAAGCTCGCGACCAGACGACCCGTTGTTGTGCGGGGTCGCTTGACATGCGCGGTTGATTCTCGGCACGCATCGCACGCGTCTGAGAGATGGTAGGATGGCGGGGGAGGACTGGGAAGGCGGCAGCGCACGAATAGATGACCCCGCGGAAGAGCGGGGTCGTCATGGGTACGTGCTGCGTGTTTGGCATGTGTTTGGCACGTCTGAGAGCTGTGGAGCGCGGGGGAGGGGCGAGGTAGGAGTGCTGAGGCATGGCGATAAGGCGGCGATGTGGCGGGGAGGGCCCAAGTTTGCGACCAGATGTCCCGCCGTCGTGCCGGGACACCTGGCATTCACTATACGTCCTCGGCACACATTGCACGCATCCGAGAGATGCTGGGACAGCGGGGGCGGATTGGGAAGGCGGGGGCAAACAGACAGACAGCCCCGTTCTTCTGCGGGGTTGCCTGTCATTTGTGCTAAGACCGCGGCACACGTTCAATGCGATCATGTGTGTGACACGTGGGACGGGCAGCCAGAGGGTGGTGGTAAACGGGAAGGGAGATGCGGTGGTGGGGAAGGCAGTACAATGTGAATAGACGACCCCGCATCATAGTGGGGTCGTCTTGTGTGTGAGGTTTGTGCTCGGCATGTGTTTGGTGCATCCGCAAGGCGTAGAGGGCGTAGAGGGTGTGATGGCGTGATGGTGGGCACGTAGCACACTTCGGGGTCATGATCGGTATGGGGACAATCACAGAGGGAGTGGGAGGGACTGACAGACAGGGAAGATGTCGATGAAAATGTGTTCGGCATCGTAGTCTCCGAGAAGCCGTCCATGATGTCATCAACAAGTCTGACGAGCTTGAGCTGGCCGCCCATGATGACCGTTCATGGCACCCGCCTGCTCGCACGCCCGCTCACCTGCCCACTCACACACCCACTCACCTGTGACCTGCCCGGTTGTCGCCCACCAGCCCCGCCCACTCACCAGCCCGCTTTAAAGCAACAGCGGGGCAGCGAGAGCGTGCAGTCATCGGGCTAACAAGCACAAGACGACAGCCTCAGTACACACTCAAGCAAAAGAGCAAGACTGATATATTTGCATACCTAACAAGCACAAGACGACGGCTACGGAAGTCAGGGTAAGCTACGGTATGCGACAGACATACTGGACACGAACTCACCCTCAGTACATGTTCAAGCAAAAGAGCAAGACTGAGGGTGACTGGGCAAGAGTCGCGGGTATAAGAGAGAGAGTGACGAAGCTAGGAAGGAGAGCGCGAATGTACTGTAAATGGTAATGAATGAACGGGTACAGACGGCGAGTACGGCGGGATAATGAGCGAGATGGCACATCATGCAATACGGCGTGGCGAGAGTGATAAGAAAGACATATGGGTATTGTAACATAGCCGGGGCCAGACGGTGCACAGATTGCACTGCTCCAACACTCCCCCTCAATCGTGCAAGAGTCCGAGCGCATTCGCGAAGTGCTTGACCCTTGGGCTGGAGAGCGCTTTTGTGAGCACGTCGGCGACCATATCTTCGGTAGGGCAATAGATGAGTTTAATCTTCTTGTCTTGCATGACCCAGCAAATAAAGTGAAAGTGAATGTCGATGTGCTTGGTGCGTGCATGGTACTGATGATCTTGTGTGAGCGAGATGGCGGATTGGTTGTCGGAATTGAGAGGGATAGGCTCCGTGAACGGTGCGAACACTTGGCCAATGAGCAAACGAAGCCAGAGTGCTTCCTTCGACACGTGAACGACAGTGACGTACTCAGATTCCATCGTAGACAACGAGATGATCTCTTGACACTTCGACACCCAAGAGACAGCTCCTCCATCGATGAGAAACGTGTAGCCAGAGATCACTTTGCGGTCTTCATGCATTGAGCCATCTGCATCGGAGTAACCAACCAGATCGAACTGCACCGCGCCGTAGGTGAGCTTCAAGTTCTTCGTTCCAGCAAGGTACCTGAAGACACGTTTGACAGCCTCCCAGTGCACACGGCCAGGGTTCTCTGAGAAACGAGAGAGGACAGAGACAGCATACGTGATGTCGGGGCGCGTTCCCAGAGACATGTACATCAACGAGCCAACGGCCTCGCGGTAGGGTACGTCACGCATCTCTGCTGCTTCGGCGGTTGTCTGCGGTGATTGCGTGGCTGACAGGTGAGCTGCCGGCTCCATTGGCGTTGTCACAGGCTTCGCGTCCTCTAGGTTGAATCGTTGTATAATCAACTCGATGCACGACACCTGGGACAATGACAGTGTGCATGCCTCGCGGTCGCGTTTGATGGCAAACCTGAGGATCCAATGGATGGGCCCATTGCCAGAGATCTAGAAGTCCTTGTGCAGGCTCGCCTTCACCTCGGCCATGAGAGGATCCCCAGATGTCACGATTGTCAAATCGTCGACGTGCACACCCATCGCAATCAAGGAATCCTTCTCAACATGAAAGAAAACAGCCTGGTCAACATCGCACTGCGACATGCGGAGGCGGCTCTGCAGCGTGCAGAGCAGCTTCTTATGCCAGTGACGCACACTCTGTCGGAGACCATACAGCGGACGTAGGAGACAGAGTATGAGGCCCTTTTCCTTGGTGAGCTCCACACCCGGTGGCAGGGACATGTAGATAACTTCATTCTCTTCGAAGTCTCCATGCAGGTAGGCGCTCTTCACATCCACCTGGTGTACCTCAAAATTGTGACGTGCAGCAAAGGCGAGGAGCGTTCAAATTGATGCCATCTTCGCAACAGGGGCATAAGTGTCAAAGAAATTGACACCTGGCACCTGTGAGAATCCTCGTGCGACGAGACAAGCACAATAATGGTAAACATTCCCAGATGCATCCTTCTTAGCGTGGAACACCCATCGACAGCTGACAATGTTCACACCAGGCGGTGGCCGTTCAAGGCACCACGTACCATGGGCCTCGAGCACGCGTACCTCCTCAAGAATCGCCTCCTGCCAACGCGGCCACTTGGGGCGACGCTGCGCCTCCTGGATCGAGCGCAGATCCAAGCCTTCCGCATCCGCTATGTGTGCAGCCATTGTGACACCCGAGATCTCTTCAACAAGGTCGGCACCGGCACCCTTGTCATCCTTTGGAGCATCCTCCGTTGGGACAGGTACCCCTCGCGGTAAGTGTTTGTCAGCACTTCTACCAGCGAGCATGTCGCTGACCTTCTGTGTCGGCTTGCGGAAATGCACTGGGCATGGTGTTGGTGGTGGCATGAGAGGCTTCGGTGAACAAGGTGGGGTAGAGGGCTCGTCAGGTACGTCCTCGCTCTCGGGTTCAGGTTCAGAGTTGTCGGCGGTGGACTCGGGCTTGTCATTGCCCAACACTCCCTCCCCTCAAGCTCGACTCCATCGTCTTTGTAGACAATGGTTGGCTCGTCCACACTGAAATGGATGTTGTGCTCGACGGTCACCCCTGTTGCCGCTGGCCAATACACGCAATGGCCTTTGCTTTGTGCGTCAAAACCAACCCAGCGAGCTTCCTTCGCTCGCACACCGATCTTCCCGGTCAACGTGTCATGGACCTAGACCTTGGTACCCCATATTGGCAGACCAGCAAGTCCAGGGGCGCGCCCGGACACAGCCTCGAAAGGAGTCATTCCATCGAGCACCTTCGTCGAGGTACGGTTCTTCAACCATGTCACGTGCAGCACTACCTCACCCCACAGAGATTTTGGCAGCCTGGACTGAAGGAGCAAGGCACGTGTCTTCTCCATCAACGTACAGTTCAGGTGCTCGGCAACACCAGCTTCCTCATGCGTGTCATGCACGGAGAGCTTCACCTCGATGCCGCGAGCTTGCAGGTGAGCCTTGAACTCATCACTGAGGTACTCACCACCACAATCAGTGTTCAAGTACTTGATGCGCTTGCCGTGGTGGTTCTCGAGCCATGCCTCAAAAGCCTTGAACACTTCGAAGGTTTCGCTCTTCAGTTGCAACAGGTAAATTGCAGAGAACCGGGTCTTATCGTCAGTGAAACTGATGTAGTATTTCTGTCCACCCATCGTAATGATGTGTGCAGCACCCCAGAGGTCCGAATGGATCTCCTTGCCTATCTCATCAGCACACTCCCCTGGTGCACCTCCGGAACAGGTTTCCACATCGATTTGGCACGGATACAGACATCACATGCCTCGGGCTTGTCAGACAGCACCAGTGCAATACCGGTAATACATCCGCCAGAGATGAGCTCGTGTATAGCCCGTGGCGCGATATGCCCAAGGCAGCGGTGAAGCTCCATAACGGTAAGCTTCTCGACTCGTGTAGCGGTGTTGGCTGATCCATCCATGTGATTGTGTGACACAAGGTACAGGCCCTCGGCCTTGGGAACGGTTCCGATGACCTTCCCGTCCTTGTCGGCGATCGTGAGCTTGCCACCCGTGAACGTCGACGTGAACCCAGCATC